CAAACAGCACTTCAGCTGCAAACAGACACCTATGATAAATCTCTTTTGCAAAGCAAACAAGAGCAAGGAGAACACATAGACGTACCTGGGTAATGACAGCTGGATTTTCTTCCAAGATGGGGTCCTTCAGCAAAATCTCAGTGAAAGATTCTGTGCCCTCACCTCCTAAGCCACCAGCAAAGGCTGTCATGGCAGGTAGGACAGTGTCGGGCAGGTCCAGCCATTTCACAAAGCCCTCAATAAATTCTGTCCTGAAGGAGCTGTAAAAGCAACAGGAGCAGCTAAGGCTTCACAACTGGATATTTCAAGGCTCTACAACTGGGTATTTTTGGAAGCTTTGAGCAGTCCCTGGTTTCAAACTTTGGTCTGCTACTGTTCACACAAAAATCAAAGCATCAGAAGGAGTCAGCAGAAGGTGAATTGCTAAACAAACAAGGAAACAATCTGAATGGGGCCAGACCTTACTTCAGTACATGCTTTGATGTTAAAGGATGCGATGTGTGCTAAATTATAAAAGTCTTACAGAAGTAAGAGAGAAAAGATCTTCCACTCCCCAAACTTTAGAAGACTCCCCACAGAGTCTGATACCAGCTCTGTTTGAGCTGCCACCTCCCCTGCCCACTCCTTGCTCCCGCATGCAGTACCTTTGCTCGTTTTCAGGGAACAGCCAGGCAAGAGATACACCACAAAGTGCTGCATAGGCAAATCTTCCCAGCTCTCCCAGCTGCTGACCCAGGAGCACACATGGCTCTTTCTCCCCTGCCTGCTCAGCCTCCTTATGCTGTTTTGAAATCCAACCTTTCCACTTCTCTTCCGCAGCCATTTTCACCTGCAAGGTCAAAGAGGAAACAGCTGTAGAAAAAATCCAACAACAAACAGTTGGAAACCAGAGAGCAAAAAGACAAATTGCCTTTGTTTTTTTCACTGTCACACTTGCTGTCAGTATTAAATCAAGTTTGTCCAGGTCCATCTTGTATATCCCCCCCGCCCCCCAACACACTGCTGTGACCAAAGAGGACACTTTCTGTTCACCAGTTCTCAAAAGTTTCACACAAAATGAGCTGCCAATACTTCACACAGCAAAAGGAGAAGTTCCCTTCAAGATGCAAAGAGACTGGGCTCCATTCAGGCATACAATTCACACATTTAGTACAAAAATAACATGAAAGTAAAAGCTCTGCATCTGGTGGAGGGACCAGTACAGCTGCCTGGGAAATAATTTGCCTCTCTCATCTCAGCCCAAATTGTTCCTCTGTTTGTTTTGCTGACAGCATTAGGAAAGTTGAGTTCAGCTGCAGGCCCTGAGAAGGCCTTTAATGTGTCCCATGGACATTGCTGTGCTTTGCTTGTAACATTCTCTCCTCTATTCAACCTGTCACTGCTTTTCCCCTAAAAATAAGGTCCCTGCACCACACGGACCTTGAGCTGGGCCAAATATTATTGTTTTAGAGTGTAGATGTGCACATTTCCAACCAAAGGGTTTCCAGTGTTCCTCTAATGGTACCAGCAGCTGAGATGACTTACCTCAGACAAAGGTGACAACAGCTCATTTCACAACTCAACCTGGGTAACAACCTGCTCCAAAGATCACTTCCATCACTTGAAATTTTTACTGATTTCAATTGGTTTCTAGGGGGACCATATCACCTATTTCATTATATACTTCATATTTAAATGCTTCCTTTCTTCCACATCCTGACTAAATAGGAATGAGGAGCCTACAATACTACAGCCTACTCTCAGAGGATGCAGACATCATTTATGGATAGATTTAGAGTCCTAAAAGTCAGAAATGCAACAGGAGCAGCTCTTTTTAAAGAGATTTTATTATCTGCGTGCCATCTGTCATGGTCCTCCAGGAAAGGTGTCTGTCCTGCACTCCAGCTCAGAAATTTATTGGAGGTGATTTGTATTTCTCAAGGCTTGCACAGTTTAACTGCTGCTGTGTAAATGCAAGAAAAACTCATCACTGAAGGGCCGATGGTTATTGTAACTCACACCTCTTTCCCTGGGAGAGCTCAGCCCAACACACTCCTGGTGCTGCCTCTGGCTCCAGCACACGGGGCTAGGGCATTTCCATGTGTTTCCATGAAAACATCACATTCTAGCACAAAATTCACAGGAATAAACTAACTGCTATTTCCAAATCAACCAGAGAAAGGAAGGGCCAGGTTATACTTCCCTGGGGAAAGCAGGGGCCTGGGATCAATCCCGGCCTGCCACACCCACTCCAGTACCAACCACACCACACACCAGTGTGGACACTCACTGAACCCCAGCTGTGAACATACCTTCAGCTTTCCAGGACTTGCTTATCCCAAGACTGTTCTATTACCACAGGAGCTCCAAACGCTCCTCTATTGGACCCCGGAAATTCATCTCTCACTAGGCTCTGATCTTCCTAAAACATCCAAACTTTCAGACCAATTTTCCCAGGAATAATTCAATGCTAAAATCCTGGTAATTTTAAAACTACTTGGCATGTCTGCTCACCTCTGGACACGTTATGGGAAAGAGCATTGAAAATAAAATCGTCTTCTCTAAGACATTTATTGACTTCTTAACTCAGGCTCATACAAGAAATGAAGCAGCTAAAAAGGATCCATGAGCAGTACAACTGTTTAACCTAATTTCCCAATAATAACATAAAACATGGAGCAGTAATGGCAACAGTGGCTTCTGACATGTAACAAATAAATCAGTAATGAGCATCTAAAATACCCAGAGAAAGCTTCTGGAAGACATTGCTCTGAAGATGCTCAGATCAGTACCCTCAATGTGTTTCTCTCAACACAGGTATCTATTTCCTCATAATTACCTAGGAAAAAAATGGGCTTGGATTTTCAGACATGCAGAGTAAAAAGAAGGGCAACATGCGATTTACTAATGAAAACGTGGGCCAAGAAGTTTTGCCACTAGTCCAAGATAAGGCAATTGAGAGGTAGAAACATATCCCAAAAGTTATTTACGGCTCATGGCACTGGAATTCACATCCCTGCCTCGAACAATGGAATTTAGCAATCAACAGCATTGCCATAATCTGAACTGTCACTTGAAAGAGAATTTTGTTATCACTTCCAGCATTCACTTTTCACACAAAACCCTTTGTCTTCTTGAGAAAAAAACATATTTTATACAGCAGCTCATACAATCCTGTTTGGAAAGCAGAAAGATAATTCTTTTGGGGATCTAAAGCTGTACAATACACGTGTTTTCTACTGCTGGAAGAAGAAACAGAGAGATGGTGGCATTGTGTTCGTCCTAAACTACGACAACAGTGACCAAAGCACTGGCATGATCACCTCCAACACCCTCAAAAGTTAATGAGGCATCTCATTAACTTCAGAGAGGTAGTTGTAGATAATTATTCAGACGGGGCTGTCCAAAAAGTCCTGTATGAGGTACGCTGGGGAACAGCACAGCCCAACTGTGGTTACACATCGCACACAATGCTGTGGAAACATGTCGGCAGATGAGGTTTTTTGGGGACTAGCACAGGGCTCCAGAGCTGACACAGAGGGAGCACCTTGGCCTCTGCTTTTAATCCATAGATCTGAGGTATGAACACGGAATACAGTTCAGTCCTGTCTCAATGCAATGACACGAATGCGATATGGATGGCCACAAAGATCAGGGGCAGAGGTGATGGGGGACTTGGAAAAGCCAAAAGTTTAAGTAGTTGCAGAACTAAGCGTGTTTAATTCGGTTAATCCAGAGGTTTGCACAGCAGCGACGGAGAAGCAATGTCCTCACACCGAAGTGGGCAAAGCTGCAGAGAGGGAACAGCAGAGGAAAGAGTGTGAGGGAACCACCTCAGCTGGGAAAGCTGTGAGGGCAGACACATCCACAGCTGCCAGTCCTTGTGTCTGAAACCTCTGTTGAGAGAACGCGGGCACATTTTTAGAAAGCAAGCAGCACTTCAGGGCACAGCTGAGGAGGGGAAAGCAGCGCACAGAGTAGGGCGGCCTGAGGGGAAGGTCCCGCCCGCTCGCCCCCTCAGCCCGCGGCGCTGTCCCGGCTGTACCCGGCCCCTCTTCACCTCCCCGGCCCGGCCCCGACCTGCCGCCGGCCGAGAACCGAGCACCGAGAAGCCGCCACGCGTTCCGGCCGCTGCCACGCCCGGCCCCTTCCTGCCCGGCCCGGCCCGGCCCGCCTTCCCGCCGCCTCTGCGCCATCGGCGTAAAGGGGTGCGTAGTGTAGAGGGAACTGCGCTGGGATGAGGGGATGGAGGGGCCGAGGGGATGCAGGGGGATGAGGGATGCAGGGGGCCGAGGGGATGGACAGGGATGAGGACATAGAGGGGGCCGAGGTGATGGTGAGGGACTGGGGTGTGGCGGGGGCTGAGGGGATGCTGCCTGGGCCCATTTCTCATTATGATTCTTTCAGGCTAGATTATGTTACCTAGTTACTATCTGAAATTTGGAGCCAGCTAGGTAAGGTAAGGAGGGCAAGGGAACTTGGAGCTGAACCTTCCTTGACAAAAAGACCACCATGACTTAAACCCGAGTACAAGCAAATAGTTTACGTTTTGGAATTGGAGTATAATTCCATTGGCCTTTTCTCCATAAACATTGCAGTTGAACTGCTGAAAAAAGGCTTGGAAGGTGTTGATCTCTAACTGTGTGGATCCATAGGAATTCTTTCAGAGGGCCAGCCTCTCCCTGGAAATCACAGAGCATCCATGCTGCCTTCCCACTGCTGTACACTGCCTTGAGGGAAGCCATTTCCTGTTTGACTTTTCTTTTGACTCTGTAGAAATTAGTGTAATAAAACTGAACACACCCTTTCGGAAGGGCAGAGTGAAACATAAGAAACAGATTTTACTGATAACGTTCATTCTCTGGTTTCATTTCTTCACACCCACATGCTGCTGACACACATAGGCTGGCGGGATCCTTTGTGAGTGACACAGAGGACAAGGGACACTGCTGATAAAATATTCATTATGTTTTTTGACTGATGGTGGGAAACTGATCCTGGATATGATGTTTAAACCCTTCTGGAGTTGGTGTTGTTTGATATCTTGCTTGGCCTCCTCCCCTCTTAGGCAAAATTCCCCCTTTTTAAAATTATTTTATTTTTAATTTATATTATTTAATAGTTCTAGTGCAGTTTGTCATCTTGAGGACAGTCTGGGCTGAAAGACTTGCCCACGGTTTCTGAAATTATTTTCAGTGTAGCTAAATATCTGATCCAGTCTTTATACTTAGAATAATATGGTATGTGGGTTTAAAACTACCTGCCTTTTCCCAATGGAAAAGCTTTTTTTCTGGTTGGTTACTAGCAAATGTCCTATGTACTCTGCAATAAGCCTGTTGCTGTCCAAATAGATGAGAAAACCCAAAAGATTTATTTCCCCCGGAGGTTCATGTTCTTAGGCAGAAAACAGACTTGTGTTTTCCAAGACTTTAGGAGGACAAGAGGTCCTACCCTCTTAGTCTAATCTGTTTTATCTGCTGTGAGACACTATGTATATTTATATACCGAGCAACTGCAGGACATCAGTTTCCATTCTTATCAAACACAAATATTTACCTGATCCAAGGTCTGCTGAGATCCATGGCACTTTAAAAAATGCAGCTTAACTAGAGAAATCTCCTAGTTTTTTCCCAGTTTAATTTTAGTTGGGTTTCAGGGTATTTTCTTAGCAACTAAACATTTTTTTTTAAATAAAGCAACAAACTGACACATTATTGCTTTGCTTTACTCACCACCTCAGCTGTGCAGACTCCCTACTACGCTTTCTCACCTGCAATTCCTGTCAATGAGGAAAATGGGAATTGTTTTGACATTAATTGTCAGTGAGGAATTGAAACACAGAAATCAATTAGCAATTAATATGATTTAAATTTAATGGAGACAATCCATATAGAAACATCACATGTGGTATGACACAGCAATTGATGGATTTCTGTTTATCTCTGTGAGCATCTCCAAGGGCAGCGTGGTATTTCATGTAAGAGGGGGCAAGAAGAGAGGTGGTGCAGGGATCCAGATAAAGGAATTCAGGTGAGAGGAACTATTTCTGTGGGGAACTGGGAAGATTGCAAGGTTTTTTGCCCTTTGCAAGCCACAGATCAAGGTTAGGAGTGTTGGTTTTGCCTCCTCCTCTCACGATTTTGGGTATAACTTCAGATGGCATCAACTGACATCCCCTTTTCCCAGTCCCTTTCCCATCCCTGCCAGCAACCCTTGGGCAGTGATAGGGATTAAAGTGGTAATCTGGGTTAAAGCTACTCTCTTCCAAAAACCCACTCCCTGATTTAGCAGCCTTATTTCCCCACTCTGTCCCGAGAAAAGGTGTACTTGGGTTCAGAGAGCAGGAAAACACAACCATAGGCTGTTCCAGGACATTACCTCCCGGGTGTTCCAGATAACATCCTGCAGGGCTAATCAGGAGAGGACACGAACAAGAACAAAGTGGCAAAAGCAAACCAACACATAAATATCAACATATAAATAGTTGAGTTTTGTTTCCAGTAATGAGATTTAACAAGACTGTGCCTTGGCATTGAGCCAGCCTAGCAAGCTGCTGAATTTATTCTGTGAATGATTGTCTTTAAGTCCATAATTCACTGGCATGCCCAACCTGCAGCTCTGCAGGCAGGGCCAGTCTGTTACCTCCGGGACAGCCTCATTAATTAATTGTTTCAGGCAACAGTAACGACGTGGGTCTCCTTGTCACAGGAGGTGGGCGAGTCCCTCTTGCACCTCCAGTGGAATTTAGGAGTGCAGCAAAGCACCATGGACATGACCAACCCCAGAGTAAGCAGGAGACAAATCACCCATTTGACCCTTCCCAAGTACATAAAGGGGAGGATGAGGATGGCGAGGATCACCCCGAGCAGCAGGAGCAGTACAAGTCTCTGTACAGCCAGGCTGGTGTCTGCTGGAACATTCTCCTCTATGTTTAAAATGTCTTGGCTGCTCTGAGTCCAGCTCTTGCTGTCCAGCCCCATGGCAGGGATGTGCACCTCTGGGTCTGACTCGAGGTTTTCCAAGTGCTCCAAGATGTCTTCTTTATTCTGGAGTGTGCGGATGAGCCCTTCTGACACAAAAGTGGGTTTTCTGCACAGAGGGCAGGTGATGATCCAGGTATTCTCCACTTTCCTGAGAATAAGCTTGAGGCAGACAGCACAGAAGGTGTGCTGGCAGTCCAGGAGCTTTGGGACTCTGTAGATGTTGTACTTGTTGAAGCAGATCAGGCAATCCAAGTCCACGGATGTGGTTGAACACTGGTGGTTCATTTCCAATGTGCAAGTTTTGGGACAATCTGTGTTCGTTAGCACAAGAGGCCAATTTGAGTGTGGACAGTCTCTTTCCAAAATTGCTGGTTTGAAGGCAGCATAACTGTCTTGCTCTGTGCCTGAAGGCCTCTCCATTTCTTTAATACACTCTTCAGTGAATCCCAGTCTCTTCCCTTGATTTGTATTCTGTGTTAGGGGTCCTGCCCTGCTCATTTCTGCAGCACCTCCTGCCGCGGGCGCAGGACCGTCCTCCTCAGCCTGCAGTACTCGCAGAGCCAGACATCCGTCTTCCTTGTTTGGCTTGTCAGTGGATTTCTCCATGGAGGTACACCTCCCTGCAGCTTGTCTTCCCTGGCTAAAGGATTTCGCTAGTCTCTGGCTCCTTTTATGTGTTGCTGTATTCCTGCTGTATGCAGGATTGATTAGTGACAGCCTTAAGTGAGTCGTGCTCTTACAATATGATGTTTTTATGAGATGGGGACCTGAGTTAATGATTAACTTCCCAACCAAGACAGTTTACAATGACTGATAACATCACTGGGCAATTCCTGTCCGGAAGCAGACTCCATAGCATAGCTGTGACAGCCAGGCACTACCGTTATTATTAAATTAGAAATTAGAACTTTCTTTGCTGAAAGCATTTTCATTGGTCTCTAAACAGTGCTTTGCTGGACAGTTACAGATTTAGGGGAATTATCTACTACTGACGTTGGTATGCTGAATGCAGTGCTTTGATTAGAGCATAAGTATCACCAATTTTGAGTGCTCTGGATAGGAAATTTGCTCTTGGTTTAGCAATACTGACTACCCTACAACACCAAGAGAAGAATGAGATTGAGATTATTAATGTGAGTGATGAATGTCCAATAATTATCAAAACATTATAATGTCTCTTATCCTAGTTGGTTTCAGTCATCAGAGGGCTTCCAGTGCAAACTGAAGCATGACCGAGGCCCACAGAAGATCTCAGAGATCCATGAGAGAGATCTGGAAATTAAAAGCAAGGTTAGTGTCTTGGTGGGACCATCTTCTTTCTCGTGGCGTTCACAGGACAACCTCATGCACTCAGGAGTGCCCTTCCTGAGTGGTTTTGTGAATATTCATCTTGTCTGACAAATTTTTTTCAATGCCTGAACAAAATCCCTCCGTCTCCAATTTCTTTCTGCCTTTTTATTTGAGGGGTAAAATCCAAGTGTTTTCTCGGCAAGAATCCTGTGGCAGAATGGAGCAAAGGAAATAAGGAAGGAAAAGAAGGATCTCTAATCCCAAAAAGATGGACTAGGTCAGTCTTACCAGCAGAAGACATGGAGTACCACTCTAGTAGCCTCAAGTGCACCTGAATGCTCAAACTGTCTGTGCCACCATGTCCCAGCCCCTCTCTCCCACAGAGGAGCAACAGAAAGAAATGAAATAACTGCAGTTGAGGAGGGCAAGGAGTTCAGGACGGCTCTAATCTCCTGAACTTGCTGGTGGGGGGATGAGGTGAGAAGCGCTTGTTCTTATTAGCTGAGAAATAGAAGCTCTGTCGTAAGCAAACTTCGTCAAAGTGCCTGAGCACTCCTGCTTGTGTTTCCGCTGACATGACCTGTAGTGGTGCTTGATGGACTTTTGGGTGACCCCAGATTTTAGGAGCCTGGAGATCTTTCAGCTGCAGAAGTGGGACTCAAAGTGCAGTAACATCTGCAAGTGGGCTGGTGAACTGCAAGACTTATGTTTAAAAATAGGATAATTTTCTATTGCATTTCACATTCCGTGCTGTTAAAAAGATCTGGGAAAGTGGAAGACAGACCAGCCATTATTACAGTGCTTTAGAAGCTTCAAATTTACTCTGTCAGTTCCCATGTCCGAAGAGGAAAATGTCTTAAAATTTCCTGATTCTTAATTATTAAAACAATATGAAACCATCTTGCAGAGGTTGGAAGCTCGAACAGACAGCAAGAGGGACACCTATGCTCCTAAATTAGAAATTTTAAAACTAGGTGGGATGAATCCATGCTCCATGTCTGTTTGCTCTGTGTCCTATTAATAGGTGGGGGTGACTTGTCTGTGCCTTTTGTCTGATGTGCTGAAAAAATAGTTTCTTGTCCTGCACTGGCAAAGTTTTCAGCCAAGCCCTGATTCTGGCTCCGCTTTATCCCCGCTGTCACGAGTGATGTTCCCTGGCTGGCATGTGCCTTGTGCTTATCTGAATTGCCCACAACCCTTTAATGCTCCTCAGGCTAATTACTGCCTCATTAATCATTTGCAGTCAGTTTATGTACTCATCCTGTTTTCCTGCTTTCAGTGTGTTTGCATAAGAAAATGTGTTTCTATGAAATGCTTTGTACAGAATTGTTTATGGCAGGAAATAGATATAAAAGAGCAGTTGTGTTATTCCTGAGTAAAATCCCCACATGCCCGTAGGCCAAACATCCCAGAAGGTACTGGTGATAACTGCTGTGAGCTTCTCCCTGTGCTGAGTTGTGGGTCAGGTTGTTGTGACTCTGGAGAAAAGGGACTTAAAAATAATATACAACTTTAAAATCATCATGATGTGAAGCCTCTTCTTGTATCCCCAGGACTGTTTTCTTAGTGTTTATCACAAAGCCATTTGGATGTGCCTTCTGAGCTCGGAATTAGACAGAAATTCATAGAATCACAGAATCCCAAGATAGTTTGGATTTGAAGGGACCTTAAAGCTCATCCCATTCCACCTCGTGCCTTGGGCAGGGACACCAACCAACCTGGCCTTGGACACTTCCAGGGCTGGGGCAGCCACAGGTTCTCTGGGAATTCCATCCCCCTCACCACCCTCACAGTGAAGAATTTGATCCTAATATCCAACCTAAACCTACTCTCTGTCAATCTGAAGCCATTCCCCCTTGTCCCGTCACTCCAGGCCCTTGTAAACAGTCTCTCTCGATCTTTCTTGTCAGTTCCTTCAGGTCCTGGAAGGCCACAATTAGGAAACCCCGGAGCCTACTCTTCTCCAGGCTGAACAATCCCAATTCTCCCAGTTTTTCTCATGAGAGAAGTGCTCCTCTGACCACCTTGGTGGGCTCCTCTAGACTTGGGCAATATCAGGCCCCTTCTGTTGCGATACTGGCAGAGAAAACCAGGGCAAGGAAGACTAGAATCGTGGGGCAGAGCCTTGATGGGTGCTGGTGGTGGGTGACTTCTTAAACCAGTTGCTGTGGGACGAGTGGAAGAGCTGTGGTGTCAAGGATGGCAGGGAATCCTCCCCAAGAGCCCTACTCTGGACAAGTCACCAGTGTTCTTGCTGTGCCCCTTCTCCAGCCCCCTCTGAGCAGTTTCCCTCAGTGCCTGAGGAAACAAGACGTTTATCACATCTAATTAATAGTTGCAGTCTTAGCTTTCCCGACCTGCTGCTGCTCTCAGCCGTGTTCTCCTGGTGCCATCTCGTGGGTAATCCATCCTCTCACCCCCTTAATCTCCTCTTAGTTCGCTTCGGAGCGGTGATTTGAGGTTGAACAGACACAGTCCGGAGCGGCTCGTCCTGGCTTATAACGGGGGCAGAAGGCGCCCACCCGTGTGGTCACGGCGGGACGCCTCGGCGAGGGGTGGGAGCTCTGCTGGGCAGCAGGGAGAGGCATTAGTGCAATTAGCAGTAGAAGCTAATTAGCTGGAATCTGGCACCCTTGGGCACAGTGTTAGCGATCCGCGGTGCTGCTTCTCGCAGCCCTCCCCGGCCTTTCCCCGCGGAAGCACTGCTCCCGAGGCTTGGCTGCACCCTCCTTCCCTTCGCGATTCCCAGCTCCAGTTTCCCTCCAGGGCCCCCCCCTCTGCTCTTCCTCCTTCTGCAGGAATCCCCCGGGATGGGCGGTCACGTGCCCTGCTCCGCGTGCCGTGGTCACGCGACTCTCCCGATGTCGCCACCACGTGACCTCCCCCGATGTCTCGGTCACGTGCCCGCTCCCGGCGCCCCGCCTGGGATGTCCCGCAAACAGGCGGCCAAGGCCCGGCCCGCCGGGGCCAGGAAGGGCCGGCGGCCCCGCAGCCCCCTTGCCGATCGGCCCGGGGTCCTGCACCGGGCAGGCGGCGGCGGGCCTTCGCCGGGCAGCTCCGGGCCTCGGCCTCAGCTGCGGGAAGTGCCGGGCGATGGGTGAGCGCCGCGACAGGTCTCCCCAGTTGTGGGGTGTCTGTGTTCTCGGGGGCCGGGGGCTTTCACCTCTCGGGTGGAGGGAACCGTGTGACCCCCGGGGGCTGGGGCTTCGTCCCCCCAGTGGTGGGGAGTCTGCGTCCTCCCGGGCGCTGAGGGCCTTCTTCGCCTGATTTGCGGCGGGGATGGGGGGGGACAGTGCTCTGCAGGGTTGAGAACTTCCCCACTGGACCCTACAAGGATCAGGGGGCTCTGCTCTGCTCCATGTTTCTGTAGAACCTGAGGGCCCTGCCAGTCCCAGCCCTGTTCCTCAGGAGAGCTAAGGGCTCCACGGACCAGCTGTGCAGGGCATAGGACGGTCCATAAGTGATTGGGTTTCAGATGTTTCTGCTGAGAAATGGCTCAGCAGGTCGTTGGTTTGCCCTTTGTTGCATTATGTCACTTGTCCCAGTGTCAGTTTAAGACAGTTTGGCCCACCCACCCACCTAGCACTTTTACCACCTCTGATGACGTGATCACTCATCTTATATTCTTACCAGCCATTGCAGTAGCAGAAGCCATTCAAGTACAGAGAATAGGTGCTGTTTCATATTCATATCCTTGATAAAAAACTGGGCATAGCTCTCTTTTCCCTTTAAAACCATATTCCTTTTGCACTGGGTGTTTGTTTAATGCTGTGCCTCAGACATGCCAACTTGTGGTTTCTCTTTTGACAGCAACTGCTTGTTTCGGGCCCTGGGTGACCAGCTTGAGGGGCACTCCAGGAACCACCTGAGGCATCGGCAGGAAACGGTGGATTACATGGTGAAGCAGAGGGAGGACTTTGAGCCATTTGTGGAGGATGATGTGCCCTTTGAGAAACACGGTATGGGCTCCACAGGGCACCCATGGGAGGGCTTATTGTGTAGTGGGATTTCATCTCCTTGGAGCACCTTCTAACTCACCAGTTCCTCATCTCAGAACTATGTCAGGGCTCCTCTATGGTTTTTACAAATTCTTTGCATTTCTGTCTCTGTCAATGCTGTAGAAAGATGAGCTGTTAAACTTGCATTAAATTTGTCTTGGAAATTGTTTAAATTTAGGAGAAACTTGGAGAAGGAATGAGAGGCAAAAAAAGGAAGGAGTAAAAAAAATTTAGTGTTTGCAAAAGGAACTTCAGAAAAATTGTCTAGTTCTCCTTGAATGCTCATGGGTATTTGGCTGTTTTGGTAAGTGACTGATTTCTTTGGGTTTCATTCTCCTTGGCACTTAATGTTTCATACTGGGAATCCAGGGGAAGATCCAAAGCAGAGGTGAATACAGCCTTTGTCCCACCAGCTTTGAGGATGTGCCAGGTACTATTCAGGTGATGCATGGAAGTGGTTTGGTCACTTAGTACTTGGCACTCTTCCTTCTGAGCTAACAGAGACAGGGGCCTTGCTTAGTCTAAGGGTGTGCTGCTTTTTTTTAGAGATTTCTGTGGTCATTTAAGTGCATTAACTTCTGTTGCTGCCAAAGTCTTGAACACTCACTGTTTCACAGGTGGGATTTCCTTTCCAGAATTTCTTGTGCTCGTGTTGAAATTTCACTACTTGTTATCCCTTCAGTGCTTTTGGAAGTGTCAGAAACTAGGTTTCTAACTCTTCTAAATGTTTTTTTCCTTTAGTTACCAATTTGGCCAAGCCTGGGACCTTTGCTGGCAACGATGCTATTGTGGCCTTTGCAAGGAACAATCAAATCAATGTGGTTATTCATCAGCTCTATGCTCCACTGTGGCAGGTGAGAAAAAACATTTCTACATTTTGGCCTCATTTTTCGCTGATGAATATAAACAGTGTGAAAACTTCCTGATCTGTCAAAACCGAGCAGTAGCTGTAGTTAGCTGGGTATGATTTAGAGCTGCAGCTTTTACTTACGGTCCAGCATATTCATAGAACCACAGAATGCTTTGGGTTGGAAGGGACCTTAAACCCCCTGCCATGGGCAGACACCTTCCACTAGCCCAGGTTGCTCCAAGCCCTGTCCATCTGGGCCTTGGACACTTCCAGGGAGGGGCAGCCACAGGTTCTCTGGGCAACCTGTGCCAGGGCCTCCCCACCCCCACAGGGAGGAATTCCTTCCCAATATCCCCTCTAACCCTGCCCTCTGGCAGTTCGAAGCCATTCTCCCTTGTCCTGACACTTCAGGCCTTGTCCAAAGTCTCTCCATCTTATTTGTTGGCTCCTTCAGGTACTGGGAGGCCACAATTAGGTCACCCTGGAGTCTTCTCTTCTCCAGGCTGAACAATCCCAACTCTCTCAGCCTTTCCTCATGGGAGAGCTGCTCCATCCTTCTGATTATCTTGGTGGCCTCCTCTGGACTTGCTCCAGAGTGGAGAGAGCTTCTCTAACGAGAGCTAAATTGGCTAATTTTCCGAATAATCTTTCAAGAGCTTTGGGATTTGTTAGATACCTATTCAAGCACTGACAGAGGAAAAGAAAGCTTACTGAATTCCAACATGTTGAATAACCTAATAGGATAAAAAGCAGGAGTTAATAGAACCAAGTGTTGAGTTGGAATCTAAAGGTAAATGTGAAATAGATGAATGGAGAATTATTGTTGGGAAACCTGAAGTTACGAGTGCAGCACAAACCACAGACAGGGTTGAAAGGTGACTTGGTGCATGGTCTGGGAGTGGAGATAAGGCGATTCATAGACGTAAAAGGGTTGAGAAACTCTGTAGCCCTAAAGCAAAGCAGTTATTGTCCTTTGCTTACTGACGTCTGCTCCAGGAGAGCTGTCAGGCCTGTGAACTCGGGCTGACACGTCAAGCCAAGGAGGTTTGCAAGTGCAGTGGGATTTTCTGCATTCCTGGCAGGAGCTGGAATGCTGGGTAGCTCTTAACTAACAGTTTGATGATCAGGGTAGGAATTATTCTTGCTGTCAGTGCAGATAATATCAGAGCAGGAGTTTTCTGTGGAAACTGCTGTACTTGGTGCTGACAAAGCAAAGGGACATTTGATTGTTAACAGTGTTCCTGAGTAGAGTTAATACATTTTTATGGATTGGCTTTCTTTTAAAACCAAAACACAGCCACTTGGAATCCTGTTAAAAAGCATCTTGTCCCAGCTGCAGATCAAAACTTATTCTGGGTAACTGTTTCCACTGTGGTCATCACTTGAGTGAACTCTCTTTCCTCATGTTTCAGGGGGAAAATGATACTGTACATTCCCTAGGAGCATTGCTGAAGTTGGATGTGGGAAGATGGTCGTAAAACTGATAGCTGCTGTGGAAAGTTTAGGAAATAGTTCTGAGCTTTCCACAGAAATATTTTCATCCCACGTTTTGTTTGTTATACAACTGACCAACGTTAAGTATCTGGCTTTCAAACCTTCTCCTTGAGGCAGAAGCTCTGTTGTTACTGGAGGCACAGCTGAATTTTTAGGTCAACTCTTCCTGTTTATAAAACTTTGGTAGTGTCGTACTCACTTCCTGCCCAAGAAAATTAATACTTGGACAAATCTGATGCTGAGGTTGATTCCAAATCCTCATTTGCAGTTTATTTCTTTTGTGTAGATCCGGGGCACAGACAAGAGCAATGTGAGGGAGCTGCACATTGCTTATCGTTACGGGGAGCACTATGACAGCGTGAGGAAGATCAACGATGACTCAGAAGCTCCGGCATATCTTCAGATGGAGGTTGGTTGTCACAGAATTACCTGAGCCAGCTGTGGGTGATAAATAAAGCTGATGAATGTCGGCAGTTGATTTCCTTTCTCATTTGTCTTGGGATTGAGGGGAAGAGTGTAGTCCCTGTGTCATGCTGGGTTAGCAAAGCCCTGAGGTCGTTGTAGCTCCTGCCACCAGCTCTCCTGAGAAAGGCTGCGAAGGATTCCAACTTCTGGCCTGGAAATCAATCCCAAACCTGATGCTGTGGTGTGGGCTGTCTGGAAGCAACCACATCTAAATTACATATTCATGCACCTCAAGTGGGAAAACAAAAGGAAGGGAGGAAAGAGCTGGAAATGCAACATCTGGATGCAGTTGTCCTCTTCATATGTCACTTTTTGATCTTGTGCTGTGCTTGAGGGTCTCTGCACACAGGTATATGATTGTGTCGTATTAAAATTAGTCCATTCATAAGCTTGTTTATTGGCATTCATGGTGGTGCAGTACGTGAGAGTAGTGCAGGAGAGAGGGGAAACCTCCAGTGATGATGGAAGTTACGATATTTCCAAAATGCTTTGACACACAATGTTTCTGAGAAAAGTGTTCAATAATAATTACATTTATTAGATATTTTTTTTGATTGCATGCTGTGTTATCTGCTGGGCTTTGCTTTTCTTCAGATGCTTTGCAAAAACAATGCAAATAAGACAGAGGAAGTGAAGCCACAGAAGGGTGACTCTGAGGATGAGATTGAAGCGGAAATGGAAAATGCTGTACAAAAAGTGTGCAATGCAACAGGGTGTTCAGTAAGTACTGAGGAGCCTTTTTGTGCTTAATGTTCAAATGTCCTTGATACTTGAAAGTAGTCCTGGGAAAAATTCTAAAAAATGCTCACCTTGAACAATTTCAGTACCACAGCCCTAAACTAGGATAGATTTCATCCTAGAGTCAACCCTTAAATGCAGATGAAATACCTACTCTTTGTGGATACCTAATAATTCTGGAAAGCTTGTCTTGCAATCTGTCAGAAAATTCACTTGGAAACAAATCCCGTAAGATTTGAAATAATTTGAGGATGTCGAATATCCCACATAACTGGATAATCTGTGACTCTTGGCTGTTGTTACTGTGCAAATGCTTAGAACAGAAAGGGCCAAGAGTGAAACAATTATGCTGAAAGAGCATATTCCTTTTTCTTGATATCTTCAGGAATTTAAGGGTTCCCCCCTCACCTTTTTCAGAAATGAAGCATTAATTGAACAATCATAAAAGCAGGAGCCCCCTCTCTGTGCCGCAGGTGGTTGTTAAGTGAATGTGTGTCAGAGATTTGAACTCCTTCAGTGTTCTCCTTCTCTTGTGGACAGGACATGGATTTAATAAGCCACGTCCTGGAAGCGGAGGATTACAACATAGAATCTGCAATATTTGCGATCTTACAAGTGAAGGAAGGAGAAGGAACAAGTGAGTTCTCAGAGTTTGTCACCTGAGGCTTCAGGTGAATGTGATGTCCATGTTCCCTGGGGACAGCAGCAGGACAGATGGGGTTTGCTGTTGTGTGCTCCCACTTCAGCCTTCTGTGCTCAGGAAGGTTGTTAGTGAGGGCAGCCTCAATCCAGCTTCAAAAAAAACCCACTGCTCCAGAAATTCAGGAAGAAGGAGTTGGCTGACAGCGCGACAGCTCCTGGGTAGAGTGTCTGAGGAAAACCTGTTGTTGGTAGGTACCGAGGAGCAGCAGAAACCCCAGAGCAGGGATCAGAAATCCTGCAGCAAAACATTGTGGGAGGAGAATGGAAGCGGTTCAAGAATCTTTGGAAATCAGAGCTTGCATCAAAGTGAAACAGGAAACAACAAAGGACAGGCTGGATCCAGTGGAGAGAACCAAGCCAGCAGGAACCCACAGGTGTGTGAGGGGGGTTTAATGTGAGCACCCTTTAAGAATTAGGAGATGGCTTACTCAGCAACTCTTTTCTTCCAATCAAAAAGAGTTTCTGCTCACTGCATTTTATCATTGCTGCAGCTGTGACTTCTCTGATAACAAACATTTCCTAGTGACTTGTGGCACTCTTCCCAAAACAGCCTGAAATAAAGTCCTCATAAATAGTTAGGAATGTTCTCTGGGTGCTGCCTTGATATCTGCTCGTCTCCTTTCCAGTGTGTTAGCAGAAGAAGTGTGGTTTGAACTTTGTGTTTTCACCCTTCCCTTTCAGGTAGCTAAAAAACAGAAGAAGGAGCAGCAGAGGCTGGAGAAGAAGAAGCGGCAGGAGGAGAGGCACCGGCAGAAGGTCTTGGCCATGAAGAACAACTGTGCAGATGACAGGACAGAGACAGACCCCACCAACCACATCACCTTGGTGAAGACCATGGCAACCCTAAACATATGACTGTGTGCTGAGTACTCTGGGGAGAAAAGCAAATAAAACTGATGAAGACAAAACTCCCCCTGAGCAAATTTCCAGGCACCCTTTGTTACCCTAAAATCGGTTTCTGCAGAGGTTTTCAAGGACAAGAGGAATTCCTGTTCCTTTGGTTGCGGGGAGGACAGTTACTCAGTGATTCCACGTCAACCTGTGTGTGAGAAGAGTTGTTTGAACTTAAAAAGTAGAGACTTGGGTTTATAATTTTGGAGTTAGATGAAGGTGAGAACCTTTTTTTCACATAGCAGTGTCACATTTGCTTTGACATCTCTTGATGTGCCTGGATTTTTTTTTTTTACTTGCTTATGCTTGGAGAAGCTTTATTTTACCTTTCTGTCAGGGAAATCTTAACAAATCTCAACTCAGGAACAACTTTGGTGGGTTTTTTTCTATTTAAATTTAAATGAAGTGAATGAAGTCTCAGAATCCTTTCCAAAGCAAAATGTGTCAGCCAGGACTGTCTCAAACATGACATTCCTCTTTTCTTTGCCAGGCAGGAATGCAGTGACAAGTTTTAATCTCACTAGAACTGTTGGCCCTCGTTCAGAAGTGATTAATACATAAAGGGAGAATGGGATTGCTGCATCCATGCTTGCTGAAGTTTGGGACCAGCTCCTTTGCTACCTGAGACCTGTAGAGAGACATAAACCCATCCAAAATAATAATACCAGTGGAGTCATGAGACTGCAGAGCCAACTCATCTGATCTGGTGATGGTTGATGAGGCTGTAAAATGTGACAGGAGCAGGCAGGAGATTTCTGGTGAGTGTTGTTACTTGGACATCTGGAATCTCATCCCCTTTGTCATATTTTGGAGCTTTTGGGCTACTCCAGAGCTTTAGTCCAAGCCAGGAACTTGATGGGTGTTAGTCTCCAAATTACATTAGTGTAGCTCAAGGAACAAGAGTCCTGGGAACAAGCTTCCAAGCACCAGTACTCCCTGGGAAACCTGCCTGTTTCACTTCATAAATCAACCTTTTTCCAGGGTAGAATTTTTCCATCTTAAATTCCATTTTGGTGAGGTCACCAAGTAGGATGTACAGCTTGACTCCAGTGATAATTTCCACTGTAGGACTGAGGATTTGGACCAAGGTGAAAGGACTGTGGGATTCAGCTCTGGATTTATGGCTCCCAGTGTTTCAGCGTTACTCGGGTTTTTGGATTTGTGACAAGCACTAAGCTTGAAGAAAGCACACGTGCACTTACACAACAGCAGGAGACACCTCATCAGCCAGGGCAGAGGTGAAGGGGATTTTTTGAAAGTAAGGAACGTTGCTTTTGAAAAAAAATCTATGTGTGCTTTGAAGTTTATAAATCAGCATGAAAATATAAATGCCTTTTTTTACTGAACTGCCAAGAGCTGGTACTTCGTGTGCTCTGCTGCTGTTAGTTGAAGAATAAAAAGAAGGCTCTCCTGTAAGAATTCCTGGTTTAGGAATTCCTATTCTCCAAGACAGTAAGTTTTGCAGTAGTGGAAAGAGAGGCAACTCACAGCTTAGTGGGGAGGAAGTGCAAATCACTTCAGTGTGTGATCAGTTGTGACAGTGGGTGTAGCAAGGCAGTTCAGGTACGTGTATCACCTGTGTCCTGCCCAGCTGTATTTTGGTTTGAAATGCAGATGGGTTCTGCAGGTTTGAAAAAATAAGAAAGAATTTGCAGTTGTGCACTTGGAATAAGAGGTTTGATCTTAATGAATTGCTTTTTTGTCCTCCTGAGCTAGAGCTGATAAAAGGATCTTGGAGCCTGACAGCTGTGCAGGGAGTTGTCCTGAAGGCTGAGCTTCTGTAGGTGTGGAGGGAACTCACCCCATTGTGTCCAGGATGACAGGGCAGTTCTGCACCAGCAGCACAAAAAGCAGAGAGAGGGGCTGGTGAGCAACTCATGGCCACCAATACCTGGAACCAAATCTGGAGCTGAAAATGCTTTCATTTCCAAGTGTAATACGATTAAAATAAACTCTTAGTGTGCTGGGCTCTTAAATCATGATAGAGCAGTCAAATTCCCTTTTCTGCCAATTTCCCTGTTTCTGCCAGGATAGCTTTGTGCCTGCACAACCATTGTGTATCAAAAGATGTTAAAACTTATTTTATCTGTTTTAAATTTTCCTGTTGAAGTTTCCACCTTCCCAGTCTGTTATTTTTTTTCTAGGGAATCTTTATGCAGCATTCCTCATGGAACTCACTTTTATGTAGAGAATTTGCCTTGTAAACAGGCTTTTCCTTGCAGGAGGAAGGGGAGGCAAGAAACAAGAGCAGAGGCACATCATGATTCATAGCTCGTGTTTACTTGTTGGTGGAGCTTTGTAATGCATGGTCCAAGAATGGACAGTAAGCACTGGATATTCCCTTGAGATCTGAGGAGGATGACTCTTTGTTATTAGCTGCTGGCTGACATCTCTGAGGGTGTTTTGGCTGCTGCTGGATCAGCAGTGGGGTCACCATCAGGCTCTCAAGGGCGACTACACAGCAGGATGATGTAGCACAGCCACTTTCCCTGCATCCTATCTACCTACATAATCTTCCCTTGGCTTATTTTTCCCAAATCCTGCAGATCAGGAGTTCAGTTGAACTGGAAGTTTTAAGCCCTCCATAAGTGTTTCTATGTATGGGAGGGTTTTCTGCCTGTGCTGCTCCATGTCTCCCGTCCTTTTTTCCTTCTTGGGAGCTTCCTGTTGGTTATCTCACAGCTTTGCCATGACATTCGTGGTATCCACATCTGCACAGCTTCAGGAACTGCAGAACAGGAGGGAAACTGTGCATGAAAAGCATTCCATACTCCAGTGTTGGATACAAGAGAGATGATTTGTGCTGGTGTTGAGCTGTGGGGACTTTCCTTGGTGCTGCCTGGTTGCAGGAACCAGCCTTAGAGGGCAGCATTGGCTCTGTCCCAGCTCTTCTCTCAAAATCCTTTAGTGGCTATAGGAAATGAGTAGAAATGAGTGGTTTGGAGTTATAAAGATACCACATGTACTGTGGGAATGTGAGGGTGGGGTGGGGGTGTTGCTTGTGATGAAACGCTGGAGTCAGGCAGGAGCCTCCTGGCGCTGAGGTGAAACTCAAAGAAATTACCCTTAAAACTCCGTTATTTTAAGCAGAACACATCTCCAGAGGTAGCCTTAAAGCTAGAGGTACCTCCATTAAGGCTCGGGGCTATGGGACAGCCAGCCCTGGCTTGTTAGAGATAATTAGGGCTTATTTGGGATCATGTGCAGTTCTGGTGAGGGATGAGGTAGCTGCAGGGAGTGGCAACCTGAGGAGACCTGTCTGGGCTTGCTGGAGATGGGGTGCAAGAAAAGGTCACACTAAACCCCTGAGGCCCCACCACTGAACTCCCCCATTCCTGCAGTGATGTTAATTGCTTAAATGGTCGTTGGGAACAGGATGGGGCTGGATTGAGGCCAAGGTCTCAGAGGGAAGCTGGGGTTGGAGCCTGGTTTAGGGTGCAGCAGCCACTCACTCTTTCTGTGGTCTTTTTTTTTTTTTTTTTTCTCTGTAGCTCTTAAGATTTACTAGTTGGCTGCTAAAATGTCACTTCTGGTCAATTTTTTAAGAAAAAGATGCAAAACGTTGTGCAGGCATAAATATTGACTTCAGAAAAACAGTTCTGAGGCTCCATGCTGCTTCCTAGCCTTCCATCATTGATTCCCAAAACGCAACCCTGGAGATGCTTTACAAATTTCCTTTGAAAATGTATCTTTATTTGCAGGGTTTCCATTTTTATGAGTTGTTTAATCATGGGGAGCAGGTTTTCCGGGTGCACTGACTCCAGGGAAAGGTGCTGGAAACCTTTTTGGTGCCGCAGGGCTCTGCCGTGTCCTGCCTGGCTGCAGGGAACGCAGAACCCCCACCATTTCCATGGACTCTGTCGGGTTTTGACCCTGGTGTGTTTAGCAGGAGGGTGCTCGGCCCTTGCACTTAAAGTTGGGATAATTCTTGTAAGAATTGTGGTAGGTCCCAGCTGCCCTCTGGAAACACTCAGCTGCCTTCTTGTCGCATGCACAGGTCGCTGTTTGGCACTGGTTCCCGGTTCCTGGAAGAAAAATTGGGGGGCATGGAGGCAGGCAAAGGGTGGGAGAGTCACAGGGTGTTTTTTGGACCATCCCTACTGCATACGCAGCCCCCTGGGTTAAATTTGGGGTGTCTCAGGTACTCTCACCTCTGATGTGTGGAGCTGCCTAGCCCTGGAGGGACCCTTTAATTCACTTTATCCCTGGGGTGTGTGCGGATAGTTGCTTGGATCATAGGGATATGCTTTGTTTTGGTCTGTGAAATAATGTGTTGGCTTTGGGGAAATCGAGGTGGCTGTGCCAGGTCCCTGTCCAGGATGGGAAGGTCACCTCAGACCCTCAGTATTTGGCCTCTAGGGAAGGACAAGGCCCCTCCTTAGGGAGGTGTCCAAGCTCGAAACTTCACCATAATCCAGCAAATATTTATTTGCCCTGTTCCTGGCACTTTCCCTGTATTTCTACCTCCTTTGCTCTGAGTGGTTGCCAGGCCAGGATGGTCTAAAGGACACCTTGGAATACAAGCATGGATGGTATGTGCCTTCCCACTTGGAGCTTTGCCCCTGCACCGGCTCTTACTGCAGGTTATTCGGCTTCCCCGGAGGAAGTATTTGTAGGTGACCACTTTGGGACTGCAGTGTGAGGAAGCCAACTTCTCATAGCAGCAATTGTGGGCATGGCAGCACCTGAGAGCACAGAAGCCGTGGTCAAGTCAGGATGGGGGACAGTTGGGACAACCCTACATTGGTTGAACTTCAACGACGCGCATCGTTCCCATTGGCTGCTGCTGCTAAAATGCTTTTAGAGAGGTTTTAAAGACGAGCAACAATTTTCTCATTGCTCTCTGCTCCCAGAAGCAGGACAAGATTCCCCTCGCTGTACCCAGGGAGGTGGGGAGGGCTGGGACACCTGCTCTGCCTTTACCAGGTCCCAGCTTACCTGTCGGTGGCATCCAGGGGCTTTTTGGATCCCCCCAAGCCGCAATAACAGCCGTAACCATTGCAAGACAGCAGAGATTTCCCGGTCTCGTGCTTAATCATCGCTCCAAACTGGAGCACGTTGCAGCTGGTGAGGGCCAGTCCTACAACTGGAGAAGTTGTTTAGGAGCACTGGAAAAAGCAACCTCCCATCCTACCCTTCCACAGCAAAAATGAGCATTTTCACCCATCCCATCTCCGTGGACAGAACCCGTGAGCACCAGACTTTCCTGGAGGATGGGAGCTGGCAGGGGATTACTCACAGAAGAGGAAAAGTGAGAAGAGCTTCATGTCTGGTAGTGGCAGCTCCAGGGTTTGGTGAACCTGACGTGCTGCCGGTCACACCTTTTATAGTCACTGTGTACCTTTGGCAAGGCCCCTCCTTTGGAGGGCAAATATTGACAATCTTCACCATATTGCTCTTGCTACGTGTGCAAGTCCCTTGGCACTGCTGGAGGTCCCAGCTGTGGGGTGCCTTATACTGCTGGAGCCCTTGGCAGGGGAGGGTTTGGTGGACTGGCATGAGTAGGGTAGACTGGGGTCAGCTCCATGCATGGCTCTGGGTATCTCAGCATCTCAGTGCCTCCCCGAGCAAAATGGGAGAACCTGAGGGAGAACAGGAACCACTTAGTGGAAGATGTCCCTGCCCATGGCAGGGGGTGGAATGAGATGAGCTTTAAAGTCCCTTCCAATTCAAACCATTCTGTGATCCCATGATTCACTTTCTTCCTGGATGCCTATATTAGTTTTTTGATGTCTTGGCTAGAAAACACCATTCTATGTCTTAGTGTTTCCATCCTGACTTAACTGGGCAGGGAAAAAAGGCAGCCAGTGCAAAGCATCCTCCACTTCTGACTTACCAGAGTGGGTGAGATGCAACACTGGGAGCAAAGGAAGATCCTGTGGTCCTCCAGAATGGCTGTGGCTGGAGATAGGGCTGAGCTGAGGCCACATACGGTGGGGGTTTTTGGTAGTGGGGACTTCTGAGGTCCCAGATGCCCCTTGCACATGGGGATGCTCTGTCCCTCTCCCTGTGTATGCTGGGGCACTGTGTTTTGCTCTCAAAAAGATGAGCCCATGGCATGAGGTGTCTGGCTCACCTTTGTTTAGAAGCAAAAGAAGGCAAGTGGCAGCATAAGGGAAAAAAATGCAAGTTTAAGGGAAGGGGGAAAGAGAGAGGCTGGTTGTCGTTTGCTCTGAGAGAATCTCTAATTAAATAGATGATGCTGAACAATCATTTAGCAGACTTCTTCTGTCAGATATTGCAGGTGTCCAGTGCTCTGTGCTGCTTTTTGGAGAACCCCAGCATGGGCAGGCAACTGAGGCAGGGGAGGAAATCCCCCCGTGGCTGGTAGGGAAACTGAGGCAGGGAACAGGGACTTGTGTGGGAATGAGAGAGGTGGTGAGAAAAGGGAACTCGTGGCTCAGCACCATCTGTTCCCCCTTCTGGCATGAGATGTTTGTCTCATCAGCTCTCCGGGCTAATTTAAGCAGACCCCTTGGACACCATTGAGTTAATGACCTGAACCAGGGGTTGCCATAATTCAGGATTTTCCGATTCTACAACCAGTTTTATCACTGAGAAATAAGGTATATTCTTATCAAACTGGCTGAGCCCCACGTGAAAGCCCCTTCACCCCAGCCCCTCTACCTGTCCCAGGTTTGCCGTATCCCTTCTCCAAATGGGAAATAAGCCCCAACAGGGCCAAATGCCTCCTGGAAGGATGTGGATTTTGTTTCACAGTACAAACCCACAACTTTTCCAACCCAATTTATTGCCATGTGTCTGAGCCCACACATCAGCACTTGGAGCTCCGTATGAATGGATTTGTACAGCCAGACCTCCAAGCAGGAAAATACATGGTTAAAATTCACCCAGAGTTTACAAAGGGAGAGTTTATCTTGGCCTGAAATCTGTCTGGGATATCCTGTAGGTGAGAATTTGATCCTTGATTTGTGCCTTGCAAACAGCAGCTGCTGGGTGAAGGGCCACCCACTCCTTCCTCATCTCCCCAGGATTACGTGGTGCTGGAGGAGGAAAAGGAGGGTGGAGGGGCCTGATTCCTGGGTGACAGCTGGTGGGAAGCATCACTGATGTAAGGGATATTGCCTGGCCCCATTGACTTCAGCTTTGGGGCAAGCCAGGGAGGGAATTCCAGCTGGGCATCAGCCCCTGGGGAAATTGTGTTTTGTTGCTGTTTCTGTGGCTTTATTTCATTGCAGAGCCCCAAGGGGGTATGGAGCACCGAGACCTCCTGGGGTCAACCCTGCAGGGCACAAAACATGCGCAGTGGGGAGGTTTTTTCCTAAGGGATGTGCTCAGAGTTGTTGCAGAATCGGGCCAAAACATTCTTTACTGGTGAGAAGTCTGTTTTGCTCATCGCTGGTGTGAGGCAAGCTCCCGGCCACCCCGGCACAGGGTGTTCAGGGAATCTTAGAATATCCCGAGTTGGAAGGGACTCACAAGGATCATTGAACGCCAAGCCCTTCCACCCACTTCCACTTCTCCATCTCAGAAAAAAACTGGACATTTTCAGAGTCTGAAGGCTCGGGGCTAAGTGGGGCAGTTCAGGGGTGCGGCTGCACCTCGGTGGGAATTGTGTCACCTCTCAGGTGTAATTTTTTCCAGGTATTTCAACAGGAAACCTGTCTGAGAGGCGAGGGGTGGTCTCTGGGCTCAGCTGAGTCATGGCACACTGAGAACTGCTGCCTTGGGCTCTCTGTTTTTATTTGGAGCAACAGAAGGTGAAGCAAGAAGCGGAGAGAGCAGACAGGCTGTGGGGGAGCCGGAGCCAAGGGGAGACACTCCCGCTGGTTCCCTGTGCCCCTCACAGGGACGAGGGGCAGGTGTCCACTCCTCCCTTTTTTTGCTGTGCTGAAACATCGCATCAGCGCTGCTCCCCCTCCTCAGATCCAGTGGACACTGACGCAACGTCACCGGAGGGTTGTTGTCCTCGTGCCAAAGCCAAAAAGCCCCGAGGAGGAGACTCGCCAGGGCTGGGAAGCGCTGCTGGCCCCGTCCCTTCGTGGATCAGCCCGGAGGTGGTTTTGCAAAGGGAATTTTTTGCTTCAACACCTCCCGGCTCGCCCCCGGCACTTGATGCGGCGCCGGAGCAGCCTCTGGCCGCGCATCCGGCACAGCAGGGCCGCCCGCTCGCACCTGCAGGCACTTCTCTGGCACCACGTCCCCGACCCTGCAGGGACCACACAGTACACCTGAGACCTTCATTTGTATCTCCCGGGGGCTGCCCAATAAAGGACACCGCAAGAGAGGGAGATGGTCTGGAAAGGGGCATCCCAAGGCAAGGGGGTGAGGACTCACTGCAGGTGGAGATTCCTGCCTGGGGTGCTGAGAGGGGCTGCAAGGGTCCCACGGGGCACCGCCGAGCCGCCAGCTTGGCATAGCAACAGGCACGGAGCCGGCAGCACCTGCAGGGAGAAGGAATGTGGCACTGGCTGCTTCTGACCTACCTGACACAGGCTCTGCGAGCTGGGCAGGAAGAGCCACCAGCTTTGCATCCTCTGCTCTGAATTGCCCAGCAGCTGCTCTTTCCAGCCCGTTCCCATGCCTCTTCTTCCCTGTGCAAGCCCTACCCAGCATCCTGGCTTCAGGACCATCCCTCTCCACTGGTGCCATCCCATGAACCAGGCAGTTGTCATTGGCACCACCCTACTGACTGCGGGGCTGGAATTAGGGGTGAGCACTAAACTTTCCCTGCTTCCCAAAAACCTGTTCCCTTCCTGCTGCTGCCCAGTACCTGGTCTGCACTTTGCAAAGCTTCGGGGTGGGCTGAGGGGGTTGTGCACAGCCCTGGGGTTACCCCAGGGCCAGCATTAGCCCTCTGGGGTCAGTGCTAGCCCTCTGGGGCAGTGTTGCCTGTACCGGTCCAATGAAGCCCTTGAGGTGCCCCATCCCGAGTAGCATCCGTGGGCAGTCAGATTTCCTACAGTGCTTCCCTCGAGTCCCGGTATGAAGGTACGTGGGTGCTTCCCATGAGCTGTGAACACACCTGGAGTGGCCAGAAGAAGTGATTTTTTTGTAAGTTATATGCAGAAATGAGGCCTGGGGAACAAGGGAGGAGAGGAGGGAGTCCCCCTGAGGAGTGCACAGGAGTTTGGGGATGCACATTGGCACAGGGATAGGGCCTGGCTCCTGTCTGTGTGGGTCGGGGATGCACTTACTGCAGGCAAACAGCATTGTCAGCACCAGCAGGACCTTCATTTTCCTCTCACCTGGGCCTGGGAGGAAAAACAGAGGACAGGCTCAGCCAGGCAGCTTGGCTGGTGCTGCCATGCATACCTTCCTCTCTGAAATTGGGTCAAATCACCCTAAAATTTGGAATGAAGAAAGCAGCTGGGGCTCCTCACCTCTGTTTTGCTGCCTCTTGGCTGACAGCAAGTGGTTTCTGAGGCTGTTCCACCACCTGAGCATCCCCACCCCATGTCCCACCACCTCAATATCCCCGACCTCCTGTCCCACCACCGAAGCATAGTCCTCATGTCCACTACCCCAGCAGTTCTCACCCCCTATCCCACCACCTAAGCATGTCCCACCACCTGTCCCACCATTCCAACATTCCCCACCTCCTGTCCCACCACTTTTGACACTTCTCCCCCGTGGTCCAACGTCCCAACTGCGTTTTTATCTGGGAACAATGACCCTTTTCCTACACTTTTCTTCCCTCCCAGCAGAAGGCAGCGTTCCCGATGTCCTCCCGACATCCCCCCCTATTTTTGATTCCATGGCAGGGGGGTGGGGAGGGAGGACTTGCTCACCGGGGGATCTCCCTCGCTGTCAGTCCGTCCTCCCGAGGAAAGCCTGCCCTCCGTATCTGGCCTGCGGGCTCTGAACTGAAAGCGCCGAAATTACTCTGTCCGAAAAACACCAAGTGCTACGCCCCTTCCCTCGCCGGCCAACCCCCCTCGCCCCGTGGGCTGCAACCCGGAGTGACGCAGGGACCGAGTTCTTGGAAAGTTTTGGGAAGATGTTGATTATTTACAGGGATTTCTCTCCCTGCCCAGCAGCAGCTCTCAGAGGACGGGGTGGTTTAAGCACGTTGTTTATTTTCACGTTACTTAAATTTACAACAGTACAGGCAGGAATGCAGGGAGCTCCAAATTTCGACTCCTATCACCTGCACAGGTAATTGGGATAGAACTGGTAGCGTTTCCTGTAGCTCCTGACGTTTCTCTTCAGGCACAGTGCCAGGCTGCGGTCACACTCACAGGAGAGCTGAGCACACCAGGAGCCCTTTCCTGTGGGAAGAGGAGAGCCCAGGGTCAGACCTGGCTTTACAATGGGCTAACACCCCCTTTTCCCGGGTCCTACTCACTGCAGGAGGGGCTGCCGTGGTGCCCCTTGTAGTGGTAGCTCTGCTTCTTGGCGTCACAGTCATGGCTCAGGAGGCTGAGGTAGCAGGTATCGTGTAGCTGGCAGCACCTGCAGGGGAGATCAAAACTTTAGGGATTGGGCTTTTCCCTCCCTCACTCCTCACATTTGAAAATATTCAAGGATGTGTTCAGATGGGGGGGGTGGTTTAGGTGGGTTCTCACCTGTCTGAGGCGTCCTTGGGCTGCCCCTTGCCCCCCAGGCCGCAGTAGCAGCCGTAGAAGGCATAGTGCAGCAAAGCGTTTTTCCCTGTCGCCTCCGTGATCATGTTGTGCAGCTGCAAGAGGCTCCCATGGGCTGGGGACAAGCCTGGGGAGGGAAAATCAGGGGGATCATGCTGATTCCCAGCCCCCTCGCAGCATCTCCATCCCTCCAACCCCTGAACTGGCACCAGGGTGGTGATGTCTTAGAAATTATAAGACAGTGGAGAGGGAATTTGTTCCCAGCTTGGTGCAGGAGAGTTGTTGCATATTTGGGAGGGGTGGTGATGGGAAAAGGTGAAGAAATCACCAGCCTGGTTCTAATTTCCACAGATGTAACTGCACAGGGAGCCGTGGGACTGGTGGGACTGAGGACACTTACACCAAGCAAACAGCACAGAGAGGCCCAGGAGACAATTCATCCTTCTGACAGCCCTGGGAGAGGAAACCAAACCATTCCCTGTTATACCAAAACCAAACCATTCCCTGCTACCCTTCTTTCTTTCTCTCCTCATCTGGGAACAGAGATTCTCCCCCTCTCTATGGACTAGAGAAAATGAGGGCAGTGAAGATGCACCCATTGCTTCAGCACAAAGCACTGGGGAGGGAAAGTCATGGGAATCGGATGGTGCAGTGGTAGAAAAAAGCAAAATGAAGAGAAAGGGAGAAAAGTTGGAGGAATTATCAGCCCTCGAGGGCTGCACCCACTGCTCTTCCTCCAGGTTGGCATCTCAGGTAGCATCTCCTTTGCTCCTGCTTTCACATCATGGATTTTGCTCCCATCTTACTTCTGGTTAAAGTAGAAAAGGGGGAGAAAGCATTCCTCCATCCCCACTTACCTTGGGAAAGCTGCTGCTGCCTTGCAATGCCCTGCAGCCAGCTGGGCTTGCTTTATATAGGGTTTGTTCCCATCTGTTTGGGGCTCCTTTGACTCAAATGTTGCTGACTGGGCTTTTCTGCAAAGGAGAAGGCGCCATCCTTCCCCTTTACAGGAGTGTCAGAAATCCCCCCAGTGCCCCAGCTCTGTAGCTCACACACGGGGGCTGGTGCTGGGTGGGATGAGGTGGCAAAGCATCGTCACTTCCAGCCTGAGGAGGAAGCCAACACGCCCTAATCCTGGTCAGAAATGCCTGAAGATCTTTTACTTTGTCCTTCCCAGCACCATGGAGCTGTATCGGGGGAAAGAACAACCCTGGTTCAGCCTAGGCAGGAATGAAGCAGGTTTGGGATTTTCAAGGGGGTGTACAGTTTGGGAACTGACTCTGCAAAACTGGTTCAGGGTAACTTGTCAGTTGTTTGGGGAAAGTCTGTGGGCAAACTGAAAGTATCTCTAAATGTGCAGTTCCTGGAGACATGAGGTCAGGCAGACAGACACTGGATGATTAAACCCTCCCTCACTGTGAGAAAAAAATGAATCAAAATGAATGTTTTGTGGTGAGCAAATGCAACTTCCCTTATTTTATTCTGGATGATTTTTCCACACCCTCATTACAGCTCTTCTGCAGAAACTATTCAGTCACCAACTGCCCTCCTAAATTAGCATCCACCTAATTTATCTGGTCATGGTTTTGAAATCTTCCCTCCTCTGTGGACGGCTATTCTTTAGCCTTAATTTTCGTAGAATCCCATAATGGTTTGGGTTGGAAGGGACCTTAAAGCTTATCTCGTTCCATGGGCAGGGACACCTTCCACTATCCTAAGTTGCTCCACATTGGGGTAGGCCTGTGAATTACAGCCCTATTGGGACCATGGAAGTATTGGGATGTTGGGCAGAGGGTGTGGCTGAGGTGTGGGATGCAAAAGTGCTCCCCAAACTCGGCAGCCACCATTGTAGTGCCCCAATCTCAGTGGCCCTTACAGAAAAACACCACAGAATCAGTTTGCATTCCTTTTATTGTAGGTCTTTATTATCTTTGCTGGGAAGTGAAATCAAGGGAGGAGGAAGGGACAAAAAAGAGGACGTTGGTGGGTCTTTCTGAGAACAGGGGGGTCTCCATTCATGACGTGTGCCCTTCCTCACCCTGAGCACCTCACAGGGAGCCTCATGGGCTCTGCTTCTGCTCAGCCCCCACCCCAGGCTTTTCTTGCCACAGCAGTGGGGGAAAACCGACAAAATCTGGAGCTCTGTGTGCAGATTCCCCTTCCTCAGCACTGGAGCTTGTCTCCTTGGCATTTCAGCTTGAAGTAGAAGCGGTAGGAATGACTGTACGAAGGCAGAGTGCTCGCAAAGCACAAGGCCACTGCCTTGTCACACAGGCAAGTCTCTCTCTCACACCAGCTCTGCTTGTTACCTGAGGGGTGGAAATACAGTGTCCTGTAGTGGCTTTTCCGGTGGGGTCCCCTCAGGATGCCTCCAGTGCCTGGAGCTTCCTGAGGGAAGTGGATGAAACAGTGTGTCCCAGTGCTTGCTCTCTCTGACCTGTTGCATCCCTTGCAATGCCCATTTAATTATCAAACTTGGACAGGAATCAGGCTGGTTTCACCCCAGGGGTTGCCCTCCCGAGTGCCCTGCTCCGGGGATGGGGTGTCATGGGGAGCAGTGCTGGTCCCCCACCTCCATGGAACCCCTGTTCTATACTCACTGCAGGTGATGTGTCCGTCATCAGTGGCGAAGGTGTACGGGGTGATCAAGGGGCTGCACTTGCCCTCCCTCACCCTCCTGTAGCAGCAGTCGTGGGCTTGGCAGCACCTGTGGGGACACCACATCAAACTGCGGTCCCCCAACCCTCCCTCACCACACCTGGAGGGTAAAGGAAGGTCCAACCTCAAATTTAAGGTGACCGGGAGGAGGGGATGGTCAGGCAGCAGCAAGACATGGCTGGGGAATGGGGCGAACTCCCCAGAGCACAGGAGCTGCAAGGGAGGGGCTTTTTAGGGACTGCCCTTCACTGGGGGTGGTGAGTGGTGATGCTGTTCCAGATACTCACCGGTCGGTGGGGTCCACGGGGGTCCCTCTGCCCCCGATGCCGCAGAAACACCCGTACCAGCTGTAGGAGAGAAGGGCACTCTTCCCTGTGGTCGACCTGATCATCCGCTCCAGCTCCAGGATGCTGGTGCCAGCTGGGAGCAGCCCTGTGGAGAGGCAGAGGGATGGGGCTTGTGCCGGTGCAGCGTGGGGAAGCTGGTGGTGTTCTCGACACCTCACGCCAGGCAGGGAATTAAATAAGTCTGGCATTGCTAGAAACACACTTTCAGGAATTTGAACCATGAGGAGCCCTAACACCCCCCAAGGATTATAGAATCATAGAATTCCAGAATGGTTTGGGAGTGAAGGGACCTTAAAGCCCATCTCATTCCACCCCCTGCCATGGGCAGGGACACCTTCCACTAGACCAGGTTGCTCCAAGCCTCATCCAGCCTGGCCTTGAACACTTCCAGGGATGAGGCAGCCACAGCTTCTCTGGGCAACCTGTGCCAGGGCCTCACCACCTAAACAGGGAAAATGTCTGGCTTCTGCACCCCCTTGATTCAGTCGGGCAGAAGGTATTGCTCTCTGGTCAGGCAAACCCGCAAGCCATGCTGCAAACAACAATCCCCCATCACCAGGATCAGCCATGGGCTTGGCACAGGCAGGAAATGTTCCAGCAATCTCCAGGGTGCCATAAAATAAATATGGCTCTGGGCATCCCAAAGCCTCCCTGTCACAAAGCCCTCCATGACTCCTGCAGTGCTACACGAAGTGTTGGAGTGAAACCACAAAATTTAAACAAAAACCTGAATTGTTCCCAAATTTTGAGGTTGGCAGGTGGATCCCGGTGTGTCCTTGGGGACAGCGGGGCACTTACCACAAGCCAGGAGCACAGCAAGAAGGAGATTCCTCATCCTGGGGCTGCTCTGGAGAGGGAACAGCAAAGATGGGCGATGAACCAGGGGCAGGACAGGAACTCCCCCAGTGCCCACACCAAGGGCATGGAACCAGTTGGTTGGCAATGCCTCGTGGTGACATTCGTGTCACTGTGGATTCACAGCCTTGTGAAGGCATCACCATGTCCCTATGACTCCTCATGGGGCCTTTAGCCTGGATTTGGGATGCAGCCCTTGTCACGGACATAGTGGCTGATCCTGCCTGGGGCTGATGAAGCAGCTCTCTATTCACAGCCTTCCCCCACCACCCCCTGAGCTGCCAGATGAGTAATAGGGCAATAAATTCCCACTCTCCTTACCCCTCCTGGACCTGCAGCTCTGATGCCACTGGCTCAGAGGGTTTGGTTTTTATAGCTGACCAGGCCCACCCCCTCCTCTATCTGCGCTGTCATCCCAAGCTGGGCTCACCCGGAGCAGGGAGCATGTTCCCATCCTTCTCTTTCCCAAAAATCATTAGTTGCCCCAAGCAGTGAGCACCAACATTCCCTCCATCTGCTCATCACTGGGTTTGAGGCCATCTCCATACCTGCATGAAGCCAGTCAAGGCCTTTGCCATGGTTTTAAAATCTGTGGGATCTAGTGGCTGGAGCGATGGGATAAAAGTGATTTACATCGGGGCTGGCACCTTAGAGGTTGTTGAATCCTTCTTCCAGCTGCAGAGATGGCACTTTGGGCTCAGTGTTGTCGCAAGTGAGGTTTTGCCAATTCACACCTTGAAGCTTCAGAGGTGGTTTCTCTTGGCTCCTTCCTTGCAATTGTCCCCTCAGATCCATGGCTGCATCCAAATCCAGCCTCACTGAATCACAAGGGGAGGCGAAGGGAAGACAGCCAACACCACAAGTGCAATTCCTGGGTCTGCAGTTTTCCTGTCCTGCCCTCTGTGGTTTTCCTGTCTGCCCAGAGTGTGTGGGCAAGGGGTCTGAGAAATTAAATCACGAGCAGCAAAGGCTGGAAAAGCCATGGAAACCTGACTTGGAATGCTTGGGGTATACAGTTTATTTAATAACCATAACTCAAACATGACACAGAGAGAGGGGGGAGGCAGAAAACCAGAGGAGATAAGGAACAAAAGCTGCTGGTTTTCCCCTGAAACCGTGGGGCCAAGTGCAAACACAGACACAAATACAGGTATCTGGTGATATGCAGGGCTCCACCCTCAGGGATTAACCTGGGGAGGGGAATTCGGGGTTGAGAATTGTAAGGAAATGACTTAGGGGTCTGGAGTCAAGAAGAAAAAACTCTGTGGAATTTCTTGAGAAGCCACCAAAGCTGTCGCTGGAAGGGACGTCACCTCCTGACTGTTCTCCAAGGGGGCAGAGATGTCTGTCTTGGGGCTTTGCTTCCCTCTAACCCTTAATTTTCTGCTGCAAGTGGAATAAAAACCTGTCCAAGCCCATTAAGAATGGGGAGCAACACCTCACCCACCTCCTTACTCGGCATCTGCCCAAGAAACCATCCCAAAATGCCATAGTGACAATCCGACAGCCAAACCCCTGCTTTCCTTACCTCACGTCTAAAACCAAGGCACTCTCTAGTAATTAATTGATCCCTTTCCCACCTCCTCCACAAACGCTTCCATTACAGAAGGATTTCCCAGATGGTGTTTGTTGGCTGTGCTATTTGTGTTTTAGCATTGCAGGTCCTTGGTTTTGGGGGAAAGACCTGAGTTTTTGCTGTAGATTTTGGATAAACCTGCATGAAAAGCATAATCTGAGGGCCTAATTGAGAGCAGGAATCCTGTGGATTTGGGATCCACACATGGTTTTAACCAAATCCCTCATTTTAAGCCCTCTCTCTCTGCAGGGGGTCTCAGGAGAGTGACCAAATGAAGCTAAACCCTCTGTTTAATTAACCACAGACTCAAGGGCTTAAAAAACCACCCATAGAAGTTATCATCCCCTTGGATATGTGGAACTTTTCAGCCTTCTTAGGGAACAAAGAGAGCTGGGTATCACCCACACATCTGTTTGTTCAGGGCCTTACTGAAGTGTAAATGTGCTGGGTGCTTTGATCTGCAATGCTCCAGTTTTCCCAGCAATATTGCCAAATATCCTGGGCTGAGATGAGCTGATAGGAAACTATTTCTTTACTTATTTTGTTTCTTTTTAGTGCTTGGGTTTGCCTTGATCTTCCCCCCTCACAGGGTGGAGAACCCAAGTTTATGATGGATATTTATTGCTTGTTTCTTTGGTGCCATTGATGGCCATCTGTTGGTGGGAGAAGAAGGTGGTTAACTGGGAGTGGGTTTAAAAAGGGTTTAAAAAGGGATTAATGGGGAGAGAGGGAAATATCAGTGTTGTGTGGGGTGTTCCCAGAAGGGAAACTGACTCAGGGATCATTTGTAGCCAGGGGAATCAGGACTACTCCCCCTCCCTCCCAGGATAAAGAAAGCTTAAAACTCCCCAAAAGCACAGTTTTAGGTCCCAGGAAGATCTTGTGTGTAAAGTCTAATTTTTTAATGGTGTTTTCATAATAATTTTTGGGGTTTATTTGTCTGGGTTTATTCTGCGGTCACTGAATAATGTCACAGGGGGTTAAACTCTGTCTTGTGCTCCACCTCTCCTCCCCCCCCCCACTGCCTTTGCTCAGGACAGGCTGTAACACTTCATTTTTAAAATTTTAGAGTTAAACCCCGAAGATTTGAGTATTTAAGTGGGGTGGCAACATTGTGGTTTTGACTAGGGTGGGATGGGGGAATGAGACCTCCTATGAGAGGGAGAGGGACAACCTTGGTGCCATACTCACCTACGGGTGTGGAGCAGCTGTTTGGGAGGGACCCAACTGTCAACCACCCTGCTCATCCTGCCTTGTGTCCCACAGGATGAGGCCAGCAGAACCTTCTCAAGGTGGTGAGGCTGTTCCTGTGCCACTGATGAGGCCTGAAGCCTCAACACATCCCTGCACAGTTTGCACAGGTATGTCCCTGCCATCTGCACCAGCGTGTCATGGCTGTCCCTGAGCCTGGTGATGTCCCCTGGGTCTGCCCTGGGGCATTCCGGCTATCCCATCCCTGAATCCAGGGAATCCCAGCTGTCCCAAGCCATGGTTCCATCTCTATTCCACCCCTGTCCCCATCCCTCTCCCATCCCTGTTCTCACCCCTATTCCATCCCTGTTTCCATCCCTATCCCATCCCTGTCCTCAGCCCTATCCCATCACTTTCCCATCCTTGTTTCCATCCCTATCCCATCCCTGTCCCCATCCCTATCCCCATTCCTATCCCATCCCTGTCCCGTCCCTGTTCCCATCCCTGTTCTCATCCCTATCCCATCTGTATCCCATCTGTAAGGTAAAACATACACACGTATTCTTCCCAAGAACGCCAAGGCAGTGGAAGGTTTAAAAGAAAAGGATTCCTTTTTTTACGATGCGGTGCATTGGGCCCCCGGGGGCAAAAGGCACCTCCTGTTTTCCCCTTCGAGTTTTTATTATCTCCACTCCCCCCTCTCTCCCCACTGGAATGCCAAGGCCTACGGCATCTGCTCTCTCCTCACATGTCAGAGAGCAAGCTTCTGGAATGCAGCGTGGGGGGAGAGAACAGCACTGTTTTGAGAAAGTGGTAAGGGAACCTTTTCCTAAAGCGAAATAACTGACTCCTGGGTAACAAAATCTTCGGCAAAAAAAGTTACTTACCCTACGCCATTCCTATCCCATCCCCATCTCACCCCTCTCCAATCCCTTTCCCCATCCCTGTTCTCATCCCTGTCCCACCCCATCCGATCCCTGTCCTATCCCTGTCCCATTCCTGTTCCCTTCCCTGTCCCATCCCTATTCCTATTCCCGGGGGGCGGTGCTGGGATCGGCGCGATGCGGTGGGCGGGGCCTTGCGCGTGACAGGAAGTGGTGCGGTCTCCATGGCAACGGCGTCGGCCGGCGGGCGCGGGCGGGTCGGAACAGGTGAGAGACGGGATCGGGATAACGGGACCGGGATTGGGACCAGGATAAAGAGACCAGGATAAAGGGACCGAGTTCGGGGTTCGGGGCCGGGATTGGAATCAGGGTGAGGGATCGGGGTTGGCTGGGGGGCGGTGGAGCCGCGTTATAGTGCCCGGGTCTGTCTGCTCTCTTGCCGTGGGGGCCGGCAGTGGGACCGGGCTGTGGGCTCAGGCCTAGGCCTGGTGCTGGGCTCAGCCTTAAGCCCGGCTGTGTGGCCCAGGCCTGGCTGTGGCACCGAGGGCTCTGCTGTGGGGCTGGGCTGGGCTGGGCTGGGCTGGGCTGGGCCAGCCCGCACCAGGACAAGACAGAACGGGCAGGAACTGATGCCCAGGAAGTTCCACCTGAACATGAGGAAGAACTTTTTTGCATGGCACAGGTTGCCCAGAGAGGGTTTGGAGTCTCCCTCATTGGAGACTTCCAGAACCGTCTGGACACAATCCAGTGCCATGTGCTCTGGGATGACCCTGCTGGAGCAGGGAGATGGGACTAGATGAGCCACTGTGGTCCCTTCCAGCCTCACCCATTCTGTTGTTCTGTGATGTAGGGCTGGGATTTGGAGTTGTCACCCTCCCAGGCCCTGGTGTCACTATTCTGGGGGCACCCGGCTGCAGGTTCCCATCCCAACTCCTCCCCAGGCACTGTATTTTAAGTGTCTCCCCTTGGTAAATCTTTGACATGTACTGTGCTGCAGTGGTACAGGCCCTCACAGGAGGGTCCCGCTATGGTTTCTCACAGGTTAGTTGTTTGAGGTTTTAGTTCTTGGAACTGGCAGTGTTACTGGTGATATCTGTAAGTGCTCCCCTGGGCTTGGGAGTCCTTCCTCAGTGCCTTGTTGCCTTGGAGTTTATTTGTTAGGAGCACTAAGGGGAAGGCACGCACTCCCCTCCCTCCCACAAGCTCCTGGGAAACTGGGATGAGTCACCCGGGGTGGGTGTCCCTGTCTGGCTCTGCTGGAGGCTAAGGAGGGACAGGTCTGTCAGCTGGGGCTGGGCAAGGGTGTGCTAGGACTCTGTCTTGCTGAGCGTTTCCATTTCACAGAGCTGGAGGAGAAATCGAGTGGTAAATAACACACTGCTGGCAAAGCACCACCAGGGCTGTTCCCTCTATTTGATTTAGAATCCCCAGATGCTTTGGGTTGGAAGGGACCTTAAAGCTCCTCCAGTCCTACCCCCTACCATGGGCAGGGACACCTTCCAGTAGCCCAGGTTACTCCAAGCTCTGTCCAACCTGGCCTTGGACACTTCCAGGGATGGGGCAGCCACAGCTTCTCTCGGCAACCTGTGCCAGGGTCTCACCACCCTCACAGGGAAGAATTTCTTCCCAATAACCCATCTAACCCTGCCCTCTGGCAGCGGGAAGCCATTTCCCCCTGTCCTGTCACTCCAGGACCTTGTAAATACTCTCTCTGTGTTTCTTGTCAGCTCCTTCAGCTAATGAAAGGCCACAATCAGGTCACCCTGAAGCCTTTTCTTCTCCAGGCTGAACAATCCCAATTCTCTCAGCCTTCCCCCATATCAGAGCTGCTCCATCCCTCTGATCCTCTTGATCCAGATCCTCTGGACTGGCTCCAGCAGCTCCATGTCCTTCCTGTGCTGGGCCCCCAGGGCTGGAGGCAGCTCTGCAGGGGGGTCCCACCTGAGGAGACAGAGGGGCAGAATCCCCCCCTCCCGTGCTGCCCACACTGGGGGATCAGCCCAGGGCACAGAGGGTTTCTGGACTGTGAGCACACATGGACAGGGCACGTTCAGCTTTTCATCCCCCAGCACCCCCAGGTCCTTCCCTGCAGGGCTGCTCTCCATCCCTTCTCCACCCAAGTGTGCCTTGGGATTGCCCTGACCCAGCTGTAAGATTTTGCACTTGGCTTTGTTGAACATTGTGAGGTTTGCACAGACCCTGCCCTGTGCTGGGGTGACAAACAGCAGCTGAGTCCCACTGTCATTTCTGGAGAATGCCAAGTTGATTTTCTTTTTTTCTTTTTTGATTTTCTTTTTCTTGCAATCCAAGTTGATTTTCTTTTTCCCTTGATAAATGCTGCCATGCAAACCACAGGAATGGAAGGGGGGGTGTATGACCCTGTGGCACTTCTCAAAGGGTTGCTGTGAAGTTGCGACCCGGCTGGCTGGGCTGTCACAAGGCCTGTCCTGGTTCAGCCAAGCGCTCTGAGTGCAGCTTAACTTGGGGAACATGCAGCAGAACATGGCTTTATCTTTAGTGGAGGTTGCATCACAGTCACAGAATATCCTGAGCTGGAAGGGACCCATAAGGACCATCCAGTCCAACCCCTGGCCCTGCACAGGACACTCCAACAATCCCTCCATGTCCCTGAGAGTGTGGTACAAACGCTGCTGGAGCTCTGGCAGCCTTGGGGCTGTGCCCACTGCCCTGGGGAGCCTGTTCAGTGCCAACCACCCTCTGGAGGACGAACCTTTTCCTGAGATCCAAGCTAACCCTCCCCTAACACAGCTCCAGCCATTCCCTTGGGTAAATCATTCTGTTAAGCAGCTTTTGGTCACAGAAGGGTTAGAATGAGTTTCTCTGTATTGAATCAGGGGTTTTCAACCTCAAGGATCTTCAGAGATTTTTAAAAAGTGAAGTGTAGTCAATCTTACCCCAAAATCCGCAATGGGAACTCAATCTGCCACTGCAGGAACAGTGAAAAGGCCAGGGCTGTGCTTTGAAGTTTACTCATCTCCCATTTGCACTGAGTTTCCAGCTTCAGAATTAAAAAAAGAAAATGTTCTTTTCATCAAAAAACTTACTTTCAGTGGGGAAGGGCACAACTTCCTGATGCTCTGGGTCAAGTTTACACAACTCCTGACAAATCTAGCCCCTATAAATAACACGTCTCCCACTGCCCTTACTGCACCGCAGGACTGCCCACACAGTGACCCACTACATTTATTCTCTTTTTAGCTGACACACAGCACAGTGTGGGAGCCATAGGGAGATTAAACCCTCTAGAAGCTTCCTGGCCAGTTCCTGTAACTTTTCCCTCTGCTTGCAGCCTGCAGGTGCAATGGCCACAGTGGCTTTCCTGGACGCAGCACTAGCTCAGCTCTGCTTCCCTCCGAGCACAGCCGCTCTCCTGTGGGCCAACACTGTCACCATGCACGTCACCAGGCCCAAATCTGCCAAGGGACGCAGAAGGCCAAGCTTCAGCCACCCTCAGGATGTGGAAGCCTGTCCATGCCAAGTGCCTTCTTCCCCACCGGCAGCCTCTCCTCGGGGATTAGCGAGCAGCCAGAGAGCACCACTCACAAAACTGGCGTTCCCACCCACTCAGGTTTCTCCTGAGGAAATCCCGGAGCTCCTGCAGCAAGTGCCTCTGAAGACCTCCTCTTCCCTGAACAAGTACCGGGTGCTCCCCTCCATCGGCTGGAAGGGCGTAGGGAGCAATGTCATGGAAGCGCTGGCTCAACAGACCGACCGGCTGGAAGTGAGTGAGGGGCAGAAGAACACTCTGAAATTCAGCAAAACTCTGTCTGGAGAACAGGGATCTGGCAGTACATTGTCAGGAAGCGATGTTCCCGCTGAGGAGAGCTCCCACATGCACTGTCCCCCTGAGAAGCGGGAAAGGAAAATGAGGCAGGAGAGCCCTTCCATGTCCCCTCTAAGCTTAGAAGAGCCCCACGTGCTGCTCGCGGTCCGGTCTCCCTCTGGCCAGAGGTTTGAGCACCACTTCAAACCCTCTGACAGTCTCCTGACAGTCCTTGCCATGGCAGGACAGAAATTGTTGGCCAACTACCAACACTGCAGCATTGAAACGATGGAAGTGCCCCGGAGGAGCTTCTCTGACCTTACAAAGTCCCTCCATGAATGTGGGATCCTCCACAAGTCTGTGCTGTGCATTCGACAGGACAAGCAGCACGATGCAGCAGATCTTTAGGCACACGGAGATGGGTCGTTCTGCTGAATGGGATGCATTGCTTCTTCCAAAAAAAACTGAGTCTGATGTTTCCTGGGCCTACTCTTGCCATCTTTCACAAATTCCCATGAAGCAGTTATGGATGTTGAGAAATAGTATTTCAGGTGTATAAACCTGCATCATAAAGAGCAGCTTGTTTCACCTGTGCCATCACAAATTGCTTCCTGAGTGCCACCAACCTTCAGCCTTTTTGGTTTGTTGAAGTTGCTGATGTTCTTTTTTGAAAACTCAAGTTTCCAAGACCTCTCCTCTTGTCCTTTTCTCTGTTTTGGGAAGGTACTACTTCCCAGAGTGGATCTGAATGCACCTATTTGGGAAGGTAGAAACAGAACTGTTTTACCTGCAGGACTCAGTAGCTGATCATCATCCTAAACATCAAGAGACTGAAAAGGAGCTTAAACCCCTAAACCATCTGGAAGTAAGAGTATTAACACATTAATGGGTTATTAGGAAGAATTAAATTGCAAGACTGATTGTAAAATACCTGTGAGGGCTCAGCTCTTTCTGGGTAACCTCAGTCCAGCTCTTTACTGTGACTAAATCACTTTTTTAAGAACAAATAGTTATTACTTTGTCTTGGTGAGCAGGATTTTCTCCTTAGTTTCCCTTCTCTCATTCAGCTTGTGTGATCTGTAGGTAAGAACAGATGAATAATTAAGAAGGGATGTTACAAATAACTCCATTTAACGCCTTAACACTGAAGTGAGTTAGTCCAAGAAGCAAAGTGTTGTTTTGGGAATTTTAAAATAAAAATGTATTAATGGGATTTGACTGAGGAATTGGCTCACACCATCTTTTACTAAACCATCATTAAAAGGCTGTTTGGCAGGTTTAGGTAACTACAATGTGCTTGTGCTAAAAAAAATATCTTCTAGTATCTAATGGAAATTCAAATAATTCAATCTACTTAAAAAATGGATCACTTACTACAGAGATGAGCGACTTTAAATGGTTTGAGGCAAACCCAGTTTATTATTTCAAACCTCAGTGTAACTGCCAAACCAGCCCAGCTCAGGAGAAGAAACACAACAGGAGCAGAAAGCTGATGCTGGTGCTGATCACAGGTGTAGTATCTGATGTTAAATAAGCGTTCAGGGTCCATGGCTTTATAGAACTAGTACCTGATGAAACAGTTACCTGCTGCTGTGGGTGATGGAATTGCACAGCAGCAATCCCAGATATTGAAACACACAGATGCCTTCAACTAAACCATAGCGGGGAGCAAAGTAGTTCAGGAAAAGGAATGATTTTCTGTATTCCCTTCAGCATTAGGTGGCTAAATCCCTTGTTCTGACTGTTGTGTACTGTGTTACTTCACCATTTCAGAGTGTTTCCATCCTGTGATAGTACAGCCAATAAAACCTTTCAGGATGAAACTTGAACTTCAAATGATTTATGTGAGCTGGAGGTTTATCCGTCACATCTCCTCTTAAGAAATGCCCTTAATTTGATGGCAGATAGATCAGGTATTGCCCAGATCAGCCACTGGACAGTCAGCTGCCCTCCACACCACCTTGCACTGGCCTTCCTGGAGTTTGGATCTCCATCCTGTGATGGATACAACACAGCAGTGAGGGAGGAAGCACTTTGGATCAGTGACATCAGTTATCAGACACAGGGACCACCACGGAGATGTGAAAGTGCAGGGGCTGATGCTCTAAGCAAGAACAGAAGAGTAAGATAACATAATAACCTGGATCACAGTGGACTTCTCATGCTGGAGGATGTTCCTCCTGCATATCTAAGATAAAGCTGGGTGAGTTTGGTTCTAACCACCTCACCCCGATTACAGCATCTCCGAAGATGAGCATTTTAATGATTTCTTTGTCCAAAACCCACATGAAGTCTTTATCTAGGCAAGCACAGTGCAGGGAAAACAACTATTTTCTTCCTCAGTCCTCCTTCTCTTCCCTTCAAAACTCTTCTGGGGAGGTTTTAGAAGCAAAAAGTCCAGCACAAGAAGCACTGGGAGGAATAACAATACTTATCTGACCTCATTTATTGTGTGACATCACTTAACAAAGTTCCTTGTGGGAATCTTTTAAGGATTTCAGCATTGAAATTCAGTCTGTCACAGAATGAGGTGGTCATAAATAGAAAACTTACCATGACTCCTGGGAATGTCCTTACCCGAGGCTTTTAAACACCAACAGAGCATTCAAGCAAAAAATCAGCAAAGGGATCATTCAGTATGTGTTCTTTATTCCAATTAAAAGTACATTAGAAACAGCACACAGGACCAGCAGCAGCTTCCATGACAATTCAGCCCAATACTCTGCTGTCACCAGGTCATTCAGCTGTACTGGGAAAGTAGGTGATAAAATCAAGTCTTCCACTCGACAGGCAAGCACTCACTCACCTGCCACTTTAAATAGGATTCCAACAGAATAAAAATAGATACACCCCAGAATACAAAAAGTTTAATTTTAAGCGTTTTTTTTTTCTTCACTAAAGCTTTTATACAAATTGATAAAAGGGTGCACAATTTCCTAAAATTTTAGGTACATTTTAAATGAGCCTTTTTTTACTTGGTAAAAGGATCCATGTTCCTGTCTTTGAACAGAATATGGTGGCCAGAATTGCAAATAAAACAAGTCATAGTTTAAATTTACAATTTATACATTTGTTTTGACATGATTCCCACACTGAGTAGCAGGGCCGTGAGCTGTGCACCCTAAATTCTAGTTCAGGAGCCTCCTTCTCCTGGAAACTGGGCTGGGCAACAGCCCACAGGCTTCCAGCTGTGCGCATGAGAATGGTCCCAACACACAGGAGGTGTAAATCCTTCCTCCTCCAGGAACTGTGACTCCTACCTCATCCACAGAACACCCCAGGGCAGGGACCAATGACCTATTTTGCACTATGGAGCACTTCCCACCTGCAATTTGGCTGAGCAATTTAACTCAAAACTCTGGTACTGTAACAGGTAAACTTGGTGTTCTAAAGGTAAGTTTCTTGGTCAATACAGGCTATCGTGATCTTTTGTTTCTTTTATTCCTATATAACTGATGGGTGAAGCCCAGCAGCTGTGTACATTATCCATGCTGAGTTTCACAGCATAGGGAACTGAATCACATGGGGGGATTTAATTCACAGAGAGGATTTTAAGCAGACAATTAATTAGTACAGTTCCCTTTATATTGCCCCTCCCACCCCACCCACCCACACCTTAGCCATGTTAAACATGTCACCACCACCCCCTGTCACAGGGAGCGGCCATTCCAACAAATCCAGGACAAGGGAAAAGAAAATACTGCCCAGCAAAAGCAAGACGGCACCTGTGTTTGCAAGTAGGAGCTACTGGAAACATCCTCAGGACAATATACGTAAGGAAAAGCAGGGCAAATCCATCAGGAAGCCAGAAATGAGACTTAAAGAGCTCAGGGGAGTGCCAAGAGAATGACATCCTAGTTTGTATAAGTTGAGTATTTAGCCAAAAACCAGCTGCCTTGTTTGGGTTTTTGTTTTTTCTTTACTTATATCCATTATATATTCAGCTGTTGAATTTAAACTGATCAGGTTAATGCTGCACATTATTCCAATTAAAGGCAATAATGTTTCTTTTTTCCTTTTTAAATTTTAGATAATTCCATACTGCCCCTCTTTTGGCAAGTGTATTTCTCAGAATTCCAAAGATCATCTCATTTTAAGGCTAAACTAAGAAATGTTAAAAGCTTCTGTAAACACTTCCTCTTCCTCCCCATAGTTGCACAATTTGAAGTCCAACTGCAATTTTGAAAATGAGGTAATTTTTGTGTACTCATATCTTGAAGAGTCCTTTTCGGGACGAGCCGAGAGGCTGTGCCAATCCAAATGCTGATCCAATTGTAGTGGGAGAGCTTCCACAGCAGGGCACACACCAGTTCCAGCAGCTATTTCAGTTATTTATTTTCTCAATTTCATCCAAGTCATCAGTATCCAATTTGTTTATCTTTTTGTCTAGGAAAGATGAGAAATTAGTTAGATTTCATAACACATCACAGAGAAGGGAACGCTGCTCTCCTTAGCTGGACTTGAGGAGTTTTAGTTTATCAGGGAATGTTCAGTTGGGTTTTAAAAGTATAAATTAAAACTTTTTCCTTTTATCAGAGGCCCATCTGGGTACTCCAGTGTTACCCATCTCTGGAATGTGCAAACACCACTTGACTTATGTCACAGGCAGCAGGCCACAACCCCAAGTGACACTACACCAAACACCTGCTGTGCTCCTCTGCCACCAGTTTAAGGCTCAACAAATGCCAATTAGATCTGCTCAGCATCCAGCTACTGAGAATTCTGCAGGAATCCCACGATTTTAGAGACAGGAGAAAGCCTGGGGGTACGTACTGAAATGTTCCTGGATTCTGTTGAGAATGTTCATGCTGTGCTTGCTGTCCACCATGTTAATGGCCAGTCCTCGCTTGCCAAAGCGACCGGTGCGGCCGATCCGGTGCAGGTAGGTCTCGTTATCTGGATTCCCATCTTTATCCACAGGAAGGTCAAAATTGATAACAACAGAGACCTGTTCTACATCGATCCCTGACAAAAAGAAATCATGTTATACAACTACATTTAAATCCTTTTAGAGCAGAAACAGCCTTCTCAATCTCTGTAATGGAGCTTTTCTGCAATATTCTCACAGGGTACTTGGAAATAAAAAAAACATCTAGTTAGTGCAGAAAATCCCACTGAAACAGCCAAAGGAAAAGCAACTGGAGATGCTTTAACCAGCACTTAAATATTTTGGAAATTCTCTGCTCCTCTGTGAAGCTCTAAGGACTACTTGTTTTTTTTCCAAAGACTATCCTGTCTTAACTATTCTAGGATGTCAAATTGCAACACAAATTCCTACTGGAATAGTGAACTGGATTTCACTATTTTTCAGCTTTCTATACTTCAGCATGTTTATTGCAAACCCTGAGGGTCAGCAGCACAAGCCAGGCTTGGTGCCAGAAAGCAGGAAATTCTCACAGGATAGACTTTTCCATCTCAAGCTGCAGGAAGCCAACAAGGAATCCTGTGTTTGCCCACAGGTATCTTTACTGTAAGGACACTAATTTGTCCCGACTGGAATATATGAGGAGGGAAATTCTCCCTGCAAGCTGGCCAGGGGTGTGTTGTGTTAGGAAGCACCGCCTTCCAGCCTGCCCTGGTCCCGCTCTACCATGTCCTACCTCTGGCACAGACGTTTGTGGTCACCAGCACCTTCTCCTTGCCCTCTCGGAAGCGCTCGATCACAGCAGCTCTTTGCTCCACCATCATCTCCCCGCTAAGCAAGGCCACCTGATGGCCTTCCCTGGACAGCTCTGCTGCCAGCCACCCTGCTGTCTTCCGAGTCTGGAACACACAGCCCAAAGTTGAGAGGGAGTTTTAATGCTGGAAAGCAGGAATAAACCTCTCTGGGGGACACTGGAAGCTCAGCAGCTGTGTTTGTGTCTCAAAAGGAAACGGCTATTAAGTGCTGTGCCTGCTCCCTCCCTGTTACAAACTGTATCACAATGAGGAAAATGGGCCTCTGCCCCTACAGGAGCCCTTGATTAAGAAAAAGACACCTTTTCTTTGTCCTCTCCTCCTTGAATTTCAATCTGCTGGAGACTGGTATGACACATGTACACTGAAAACTCATGTAAATGGTCACAAAAACAAAACTACTCGGCTTGGCAAATGGCAGAGTTAGAGCTCAATGTAGTTGTGAAATCCCATGAAGGCTCTATGCAGCCTTGAATTAAATCCAGTTATGATGCAGTTTTTTGAGCTCCAGTTATGTCCTGAGACAGCCTAAAAGCAAACTGCTATAGCAGACTCCAGTTTTACCCTGAGCTCATTTTACCTGGCTGTTCTGTGCTGTCAGCACGGGTTCTTCCCTAAAAGTTGTTATGGTGGCTTCCAAAAAAAGAAAACAAAGTCTCAGTATGATCCACAGGGAGACTCCAGAGATGTATCCCCAATTACATGAGGGGACAGCTCTGTATCAGCCACAGAAGCAAAAAAATTCCCCATCCCTCATTCTGCCTGATTTTCACCCATTTTCCAACCTCACTGGTTTTTTCCCTGCAGTAATTCCAAGTATACTTTGGTTTGGAAAACTGTGTGTTACTCTGTTTCAGAGGACTTCGGGAAATAAAATGACTATTCAGGAGTAAAAGTGACCAGTGTGGTCTCCTGGATGGACAATCCCAGGGAAACAAACCAGCCAGTGCTAACCTGGCTCTCAAGATTTCACTCTTAGAGGAAGCCAGAGATGCCAAAAGGGCAATTTATGTTCTCGGTTTCTTTCTGAAAACCATGTCTGGCCAGTTTTTTGACACGAGCAACCACTACAGAATTGTAGAATGGTTTGGGCAGGGGTCACTAGGACTAACATTCCCTGGAAGCACTCACATGGCAGAAGATCATGGCCTGGGCGATGGTGATCGCACCATAGATATTGCAGAGAGCTCTGAACTTCTCATCTCTGTTGTTGCACAGGACATAATACTGCTTAATGGTATCCAGGGTCTCCTCCTCGCGCTTCAGTTTGATAATGTTTGGGTCAGGAACAACTTTTTGAGCAAACTTCCACACAGAATCCTCAAAGGTGGCTGAAAACAGCAGCATCTGGCAGTCCCTAGGGAGCATTCTGCAAGAGAGGAAAATGGGCAGAGTTCCCACATACCACCATCATCTCCTGATATCCGGATGGGATTAATGCTGCAGGGAAAGCAGAACAATAACCTTGGAACCAGGTATTTCAGAGGCTGGAAAGACTAACACTAATCTTACCCACCCCTGATCACTCCCTCACAGACCAGAGGCACCCAGACTTGCCTTCTTAAAAGGAATAAGCCCTCCTCCAGGGACAATCTTTTTATTCTATAAGGAAATGGAACTGCTTGTCATCTCCTGACATTATGCCTCTAATATGAATTAGTGCTAAATCTATAATTTTAATCTTTTTGCATCATCAGTGAAGACACCAGTCAAGACTCCAGCCCTGCTGTCCCTATGGTCCAAGTCCCTACCTCTGAATGCGGATGCTCTGGTCCTGGTGGCCCTGGGTCGCGATCATCACATCGGCCTCATCCAAGACAAACACTTTGATCTTCTTGGGATCTATGAATTTCAGTTTGGAACACCAGTCCAGCACGGTGCCAGGTGTGCCAATTACAATCTGCTCCGAGATCTTCTGCCCTCTCTCCACTGCCAAGACAGAAAGGAAGGCTGTTGTAGGGTGGCTGTGCACATAGGGAAATGCTCTGCCCCTCTCTGATCCAGCCTATTTCATCTCCTGGTGCACCTAAGAAACATTATTTTCTCATTCCTGCTGGTGGCACTTCCCCCTACTCACATTTGTTGCCTCGGACAGCATACGCAAGTTTCAGCTCTGGATAAAAGTTTCCCATCTGTTCAATCACTTTTCCTGTTTGAAGTGCCAGCTCGTATGTTGGGGAAAGGCACAAACACTGCAGGGACAGGATAACAAGTTTGAGATCATCAACATCCAGGGCAACACTGTCACACTTGCTTTTTAAAATCTTTGCTGAAGTTCTTCTCAAGAAAACATGCAAGTAGCTGAACAGTTTCTCAACTACCCCATAAGGAAACTGGGTTAAAAAAGTCCTTTTCCAGGCTCTGTTGTCAGATATTTTCTTTCCATCCCAAATCCACTTTCCCAACTCCCTTGAGCCTGCAATACTTCTCTGATTTAATTCCTCCCAGAATGATTTAACTCCTCAGAGACCAATGGCATCCTGTGTGATGCACGGGAAGGACTGAAAGGAATAAGTTTTGAGCAAAATCCACACCTTTTGCACTAAAGGCATTTTAACAGCTCCCCAAATGTCCATCCCCGTTAAGCAGTTTACAGAAGAAACAACATAATGGCTCCATCAAGCCATGAATTTACATTTCAGGCTCTTCACTAGATGGCTTTGCACCACCACGGAACGCCCCATCCACAGGATATCCATCATGGAACAGCCACATCCTAGAAACTTCACCTGGGGATACTTGTTTCCGGGTTCAACACGGCTAAGCATGGCCAGGACAAAGGCAGCTGTCTTGCCAGTACCGGACTGCGATTGTGCGATCAGGTTCTGAGGGCTGCAGGGCACAGCAGACACAGGCTCAGAGGGTGAACCCCACAAAAACACAATCCCAGGGTTGGGTGAGACAGAAAACACAGTGTGTGGCATTTTGGTACCTGTTAGGCTTCCCCTTGCTCTGGACTGGCAGCTAATTTGGCCAGCTACACTCCATGGGGTAGAAATTACTTCCTGCCCAACTGTCTCTGTCAACATCTCTTGATTATGGAGATTTGCAAGGAGAACTGTGATTATCTGTCAGTACTTTTCCATTTCATGTCTCCCCCAGTGTCTCAGTACCTTACACATTCCAGCTCAGGGCTGTAGAAAGGAAAACCAGCCATGCAGGCAGTGCAGCACCTCAGCTATTCCCACCCACCCAGGATTTCTGAGCTATTTCACATTATTTCTCCCCAGCCTGATGAGGAAAATGGGACTGACCACAGCCAAACACCACAGCACTGAGCGTTTGGTACTGGCCCTAGGAAAATGACAAATCCAGGGCTGGTGTCACATAGTTCATGACCACACAGTGGCATGGGAACCCTTAGTCCATAGCCTGACAGCTTCCCCATCCCCACCTCCCATCCAAAGTCCAGGAAAAGCACGCTAAGCCTTTCAAATCCTTCCATACTGGAAGACAGCGGGAAGAATGTGCACGTACGGTTCAGCAAGCATCATGGGCAGGGCATTCTCTTGGATCTTAGATGGTCTGTTGAAGCCCATGGCATAGACTCCTTGCAGGAGCTGTGGTTTCCTGAAAATAGGAATTTTTATATCGTGACCTTTAAAGTACATTTGGTTTTCATTTGTGTTGAAAAAGGTGAGAAAAAAGCCCGACAAGATGACCTAGGGCTGTCCCTGCTACAGTCCCACCAGTGAAGCAACTATGATCAGCATCTGGAAGTTACAAGTGACCACAGGAAATCTGGAAAGGAAGTTTTGCAAGAACCCCTGGATCTACCACTCAGCCTGCCTGTCCCGGCTCCAGGGCAAACCCTGTGTCTAAGGCCAGAACTGCTTGTTCCAAAGCAGCTTTTCAGACTATCCAGGAATCCCAGAGCAGAAAGCATTAATCCTGTCCTTCAGGCCAATCCCATTTCCTCAGCCATGCCTAATCTTGGTGCCAAAATTATCACTCCTTGACAACTCAAACACAGGACAAAGTGACCTCAGAATGTGAGGAACTGGATGAAGAGAAACATCATGAGATCATTGCAAGAACTTTAGGTCGTGTGGATTCTGTAATACAACTGACGGTGGAACATCAGAGCGATGCTGGCTGAGGGAAATGACTGATAATTAGTTTGCTGTGACTACACCTTGTGATCCATGGGTACAACTCGGCCCTCACACCCAAAACTGTGTGGTGACACTGCTGGTCAACAAATTCTCACCTATTGCTTTTTCTCAAGGGACCTTTCTACTCTCATCAGACACTTGTGTAGACAAGGAGATCCCTGAACAACCTCAATCCAGGTTATGGTGCTGGAAAGTCTCAGCTGACGATCCCCAAGTGCTTCCTGGATGCTGCCAGTGCTCTCCTTTCAAAGCAGGTTACAGGTTTCCTGCCCACATTTCCCACTACAATAACTTCCTACTCAGCACAACATGCTTTTGCAAAAATGCTGTATTACTTTCCACCGATGGCTGGAACAAAAGCTCTTTGAAAATGTAACCTTGTGCTGCTCCAAGCAAGGACAGACAAAGCCCAATTCCGCACCAGTTGCCAAGGATACACCGAGTCATAACAAAATGAAGACTCAATTAGTCTGGCTGCCCCCGTCATTAACTCTCTGGGATTGTTTGCCTTTTGAAATACAGGAATTAGTCTAACAGGCACTGCAGGACGTCAGCCTTTTTTTTTTGTCTACATTCAACCACTAACATTAACAAAGCAAAACAGCATCCTGACATTTCACTGGGAGAAGGCTCCTCAGTTCCCATTTCCCTGTGGAACTTGTAGAGCAACAAACCTGAGATCAGAGTAACCACAACAATCTAATGGGACAGACTCTTTAGCACATTATTTTATATACATGCCTTAAATACAGATATCACTTGAAAGCTGCACTGGTAAAGGTTTTCAATGGGAAGCGTCAGAAAATACTAATGTTACTGGTCTCTCCAGTACATAAACCCAGTATTGCTGGGAGAGAAAAGCTTTTCTCTTTGTGCTATTCACCGCTTGTTTCAGCTGGACACCTTCACAAGGCACCCAGATAAAACAACTCTCCTTGCATTTAAATACAAATTATACGCTCATTTATTAATGACAAATTGGCAGTAACCTGAAACACAGATCCATGCACATTTAAGTGGTATCTCCTGTGCAACCAGGGAATTTTTCAGGACACAAGGAGAGGTTCCAGCTACCTGATGGGCTCCAAACTCACATCTGCTGTCAGTCTCACAAAACTGAGTCATAGCTGCTCTCCCTAAGTTTGAGGCTTCCTAAAATTGACTGAAAAATACAGCCAGAAGGGAGCCTGTTTAATATTTCTGGTCCCAGGATTCAACAGCTCCATGCGGAGAAGGCTCTGGCTCATCCCAGCAGGCACTTACAGGCGCAGCTCCTCGAAAGACTTGACGGAGTAGAGGGGTGATGTAGGGTCCCTCTGCAGCACCTCCACCTGATTTGTGGTGTCAACCAGGTTACTGCGGATCAGCTTGTTCAGCAAGGACTGGGCAGCTCTGTCCTCTGGGAAAGGAGGTAGAAAACATAGATCCATCAATCCCAGCCTGTTCCAGGTGTTGCTCCCACTGAAATGCCGAGCCAGTTAAAAGGGACAAAATTCTTCATTAGAGGGTAATATGGCTTAAAGAGCCCTAACTTCCTGGGTGAGACATCATGAGATCCCAGGAATTCACATTTAATGTTCTGAATGAAATATCAAGAGATCCCAGGGATTCACATTTAATATCCAGGAAGATGAAGCAAGAGAGCACTGTTTTAGGGAGGACTTTAACAGATCCAGAACTCTGCTTATCTAAGACATTTTAGCTTAGTTTCTATCTGGGACAGGGTAAAGGGCCCCTTCAAGCCTCACTCTGACACATGGGCAGATACCTTTTAGGGCTTTATTTTTATTTCTAAGGGAAGTCTGAGGATAAATGGTACTTTTAAAAGACTCCATGACTGAAACACTGCAAGGGCTGAGGATAAGTGAGACCAAAATGAGGTTAAACCACTGCACTTCGGGGTTTTGCTACTAAATCTGTTTCCTAAAACCACCTTCTGAGATTCCGAGCCATTACCCACCTCTGACCAGCCACTGCATAAATGCAACATGTTGGTTGCTACAGCAATCCCAGCTCCAGGTCATCCAACTGCTCCTGTATCCAGTCCTGCCTTGAGGATACTGCTACACCCTTATTTCTCTCCACACTAATCCAGGAGTCTCCCAAGTTATTACAGAACACAATGGCTTTGAAAGTATTATGGAGGAAGGACATGCCTTACAATTAAGTCCTTGGGGGCAGGATACAAGATCAGCCGTCCTGGGACATAAGGCAGACTTACTTTAAGTATATATTAGATTAATATAACTATAATTAATAATTATATTAATTTCCTTGACAAAGCATTTTTCAAGGAGGCGCTTACCCTTCTCCTCCTCCTCTGTCTTCTCCACGTTGTCGTCAGCCTTGACAACAGCACCTAAATTAAAACAGTTTTGGGGGCACACATGAGGTCAGGCCTCAGAGACAGCCCACACCCATGGAGCTTGGGAATATTGTGGAAAAAGCTACAAAACAGCCCATTTTCCTGATGACAACTGCCCTGCTCCATTGCTGTGCAGAGAAAACCCAAGTTCAAGCTCAAAGTGGAGTTTATCAACCACACCAACAGATTCTGCTCACAGAGCTCCCTGAAGACAGCAAAATATTTAGTCTTTGCTGCTGTCTAACCTCAGCTTTGTCTTTCCCTCTTCTGGAATTTCATTATTTATCAGGAATTTACTTTGGCAGCAGCGCTTGGAACCCCACGGGAAAATGTTCCACCCATTTCAAGCCTACTTGAGCAGCTGGAACTCACCATTGGCATCTGGTTTGGTTTTTTCATCCTTCAGGTGTAAAGTGCTCAGCTAGAAATGAGGAAAAACACAAAATCAGAGAAATTCAAAGGATTCCTACATTCTAATTCCAGAAGGGAAAACCTGAGCTTTGGATTTATTAAGTATTGCACAAGCCCCAGCCCAAACCCTGCTCGATGGGAAGGGTTGAAAGTATGAGATTAACTTGATTTCAAGAGTTTTAAGGCAAATACAACTATTTCTAAGCAAAAGTTTTAACAGAAATACAAGGTTTTCTAATCTGTAATGACAATACAAAGAAGGAGGTGTTTTCTCTCCAGAATCTTCAGTCTCCACCAATAGCTCTGCTGATGGAAAATGGGAGAAAAAAAATCAACATCCTAAGACTGAGACAGGATTCAAGCACACTCCCGGGTGGCACAAGGTCTGCCAGGATGAGTTTGTTTCACCACTTGCGATATTCCAGGGAGAGCAGCCTGTCGAGGGTGCTCCCCACATCCAGGGGCTCAGTGAATGCTCTCCATGCCCAATGCAGCACTTGGAGGCTCAGGAAAACACCATTTCAAAATTAGATCTTATCATAAAAAAAAGGGGAGGCAAAAAGGGATTTTTTTGGAAGCTGGAAAACAAGAGCTGAGGCTGGGTGGCTGCCTGAAACGGTGCTGTGTCTGGATGGAGGGTGAGGGGGAAAACAGAAAACACAGTATGGTTAGAACAACTGTAGATCCTAAGAAAATAAGAGAAAAAGGGATTTTTTTTTTTTGGATGCTGGAAGACATAACTGAGGCTCGGTGGGTGCCTGAATCGGTGCTGTATATGGATAGAGGGGGAGGGGGAGGGCAGGGACGTATCTGCCCTTTGGATACGCAAAAAACAGATGAAGGAAAAGAAATTAAAATAAATAAATGAATAAAAAATAAAAAGGGAGATTTTTTTTTTTTTTTTTGGTTCTAAAGGAAGAGCCCAAGCCCAGGGACATCCCCGTGACGGCACGAGGTCCTCCCTGCCCCCGCGGCAGAAAATGGGGCGAAAAAATGGTTTTCTGCGATCGCTGTTTTCTTGTGAGAAGGCGACCCCGCGGCCCCGGGAGCCCCGCGCCGCTGATCTGGGCCTGATCATCCCGAGCTCCTGCAGCCCTCGGCGGGCACTCACCGACTCTGCCGCCGCCTCCTGCTCGTCCACGCCAGGCCCATGAGTCGGTGGCCATGGCCGGCCCGGGGGTGGCCGCTCAGCCGCGATGGCGCCGCGGGAGCGCGCCTGCCGCGCAGCGCGGCACCGCCCGCGCCAGGGCAACCGCGGCCGCGCACACCGCGTTCCGGGGGCAGCGCGTTCCGGGGGTGGCGGGGGCAGTGGGCTTGAAGGGTCTGGGCAGTGTGGGGTGGGGATGGGGCTGTGATCCCGGTATGATCTAGTGCTGGGGCTTGGACCCTTGTATGGTCTAGGGCTGGGAGGTCAGGCTGTGTCATGCTATCTTGTGGGGCCTGTGACCCCTGTATGGTGGGAGGCTGGAATGTGTGATGTGGGGCTGGGATCCCAATGTAGTGTGGGGGTGGGGTCAGGCTCTGCTGTCTGGCGTGGGCTTTTTTCCCATGTGTCTTGGAAAGGTCTGAGGGTCAGACTGTGCCTTGCACGATGTGGGGCTCAGTCCCCCATGTGGTGTGGGGTTTTTGGGGTCAGACTCTACCATGCTGTCTGATGTAGGCTCTGCCCCCCTCTTTGGTGTGGGGCTGGGGCTTCTGTTTCCCGTGGAATGGAGTCCCTTTGGGAGGTGAGGCTGGAGGAAATCACACAGACGCTGTGACATTTGGGAGGGAACAGCAGCTCTGTCTCTGGAACAGAGGTGTAGATGAAAATGAAGTTGTAGGATGAGTCACAGAGGTGTAGAAGTGGCAGGAGCTGGACGAGTCACTTCTGTCCTGTCTCTTACTGTAGGGCAGGATCTGGCTTAGACCTAGTGTCAAACCTGTTCTTTAAAGCTCCTGGAATAAAGGGGAGTAAAAGGGAAAGTAGAAAGGAAAAAAGTGTGAGAGGAGCCTGTGGGATTTCCTCACTGGGCCGCTCTTCCCTTCCTTGAACCTTGTTTGAAGGAGCAGCCTTTGATGAGAGTCTGAATTTGTGTTTTGTTACATGCAGCAGGGCCAGTAAAATGGCCAAGCCCACAGGCACCAGCTAGAAGTTCCCAAGCTGAGGGTTATTTCCTTGTCTCAATATTCTCTCTCCCTTTTACTGGAGACATGGAGCCACTTCGTTTGTTCCCACAGCCTGAAACTTTCATCTGAACTGTTATTTCCTTCTGTGCTGAGAAATCTTGTCCCAAGCAGGGCCAGACACTTCACTATTGCTCTTTACACACCTGTCTGTGGTTTGTTTTTACCTTAAAAGTAAACTCCATAATTATCAAATATTGTCATCTGATGCTTTCCCATCTAATTAAGTTTCCTGCTCAGAGGTGGGAGCCCCTCCCAGCCCCACAGGTGAACTTTGGGGTTTTGCAGCTTTATTTGTGGAGGTGATGTCATGGCTTATTTTTTCCATGGCAACACATCGCAGGAGGATGCTGAACACAGGAGCTGAACACGAGGAGATTTTCAATGGAAACAGGGCAGGCAGCCAAGACCAAATCTGAGACATTAATTAGGGTAAAAATAAAGGTGAATGTGGGAAGTCCCAGAGGCTGATGGTCTCGTGCTTCCCAATTTAATGTTTCCTTGCAGACACACCTCCCATAAACAGATTTACTTGGGATTAGCCCCGTTTCAGAGATAGGAAAACTGAGGCACTGAGAAGAGAACAACTGCCTGTGGTTCGGCAGTATTGGCTGGGGGCAGATCTCTCCTCTTCCTCCTTTCTGCCCGTTAACCTTGGCTGCAATAATTCCTTGGGATTTTCAGGGCTCTGGAGACTGTCAGTGAGGTGTGACTGTGGCAGGTGTTTCTCTGTTCTGTACATGAGGAAGGACTTTCCTCCTCAGCCTCTGGACCAGAGATGGGTTTCTGGAAGTGTAGGTTTCCTGCGGGTTCCTGGTTTCTGCTCTGGGACAGGAGTGGGTTTCTGGAGGTGTGGATTTCCTGTGGGTTTCTGGTTCCTCAGCCACCATGCAGGGTCTTTCATTTTGCTGGAGACTCTGCTGTCATATAATAATATATTTATTCATTTAAACATGAAATAAATATTCAGATTAATTTAAATAAATGCTTAATTCCCCTCACCAGAAGACTTTGGCTGTGCTGGAACTAGAGATCTCAGGTTGGAGTCTCCTTGTCCACACACAAACCTGCTGTGAGGAGGAGGAGGAGGAGGAGAAGGAGGAGGCAGTCCTTCCCCAGCCCCGTGTTTTATTATCATCATCTACCAACAGGGTTGTATTTTATTTCTCATTTAAATATACTATTACTTATTTTTTAGAGCATTCTAGGCTAAGAAAAATGGCATTATGGTGCCGAGAGTGACGCACCAACTGCACACGAGAGATGGAGGGTCAGGGCTTTTTTTCCTGGGTGGAAGGGCAGTTGTTCGCTTGCAGGCGCTCTGCGCTGCAATGGGCCGTGTGACTGCCAAAATTCAATACAGATGAAGATTCCTCCCAGACCAAAGGTGCCCATGCAGAAAGCTCTTGCTGCATATGTAGTGCCAATAGTATTGAATTCATGCTCATTGTTAATTGTGGGTCCCTCTTTTGTGGGAGGAGTGTCCTTCATTCCCGGGGATCCCTGTTTCATGGAGTGGTCTGGCTTTGCCATGGGGGAGGTACTTTATTCAGGAAGGGGGGCGGTTTCCCTTGGGTGTGGGTGTTCCTGGTATTCGCCTTCATTGCCGAGGCGGGGGGTGTGTCCCTCAGTCTTGGGGTGTCTCCCTCATTCCCGGGGGGGTCCCTCTTTCCTGGGTGGTCTGTCTTTCCCTGGAGTCCCCGTTTCTGGGGGGGAAGGGTCCCTGGTTCATGATGGGGTTTCCTCATCGGCGTGGGTGTTCCTGGGGGGTCTCCCTCATTCCCAGGGGTGTCCCTCATACCTGAGTGGGTCCGTCATTGCCGGGGGGTTCCCGTGGCAGACACAGGAGTGATACTAGTCGCTACTGAGCCCCCGCTCACGGCCCTACTCTGAGTGTACAAGTAACACCCGGGTGAGCCCCGCCCCTCCCCCTCCCTTCCCACCCCCCCAGGTGTGGGGGAGGGTCTCCAAGTGACCCCCCCTCAGTCCCCCTGTCATAAATTAGACCACAACGGATCAATAAACCAATTAGAATTTATTAATTACAGCAAGAGAATATGAGCAAAGTGCAGCGCTGGGCGACAGGGGAGTCACCGCTCCACCAACTGCCGCAATATCATGCTAAACCAGTCTCTTTTTATATCCTTCTAGTTCCGCTTTCCGTGATGTGGCAATTGTACTCTGCACGTACCTGGGCTGTTGCTAGGGGGTCTTTTCTGCCTGCCGGTGGTCGTTGAGGCTGAAGTAAGACGTCTTCCTCTTTCTGCCCTTTGGCTCTTGTGGCTTTTGTCCTCCTTATATGGGTTGTTCTTGCATTTCTTGGAACATTTAGCAATCTTAAGGTATATCTTGCTTAAGCGTTAGCACAGTTCTTTGTGGTTTAGCACCTGCTTCAGCTTAGCTTAGCGGTTAAGCTACACATCCTGTTTGATAAACAATACCACCCAGCATAGTCTATTACAATCCCCCCTTTTTATCTTTATGATTATTTGTTTATCAAACATTACTTTCTTGTTCCCTTTGAGAGCAAGCAAATTTTCTTTTACTATGATTACAACTATTACCACAAACACAATGCGTTATTTCACACTCATCATCAGGCTCATCAGTGGCTACAATACTGTATCTCGAAGTAAGCATTAATAATTTTGCAATTTCAAAGCGTTCTTTAATAAAGCGTAAAATATATTTTAAAATGCATGGTCCAAACATTAGTCCCAGTATGACCATGATTATTGGTCCTGCTAGGGTTGAGAGTAGAGTGGTTAGCCATGGTGAAACATTAAACCAGTTCTCATACCACGATCGATTGGTTTCTCTCTCTTTCTTTCTTTGTTCTAACCGCTTTCTTAACTCTGCCATAGCGTCTTGTACTACTCCTGTATGGTCAGCATAGGAACAGCATTCTTCTTTAAGGGCTACACATAATCCCCCTTCTTTTAGAAATAATAGATCTAGTCCCCTTCTATTCTGTAGAACTACTTCTGATAATGACTTGACAGACGTAGCTAAGTTTTGTATGGATTGTTCTATTCTTGCCAAATCTTCATCGACAGCCAACTGTAAGTCTTGTATTTCTTTTCCCTTTACTAAAGAGGCTATTCCAGTTCCTACTCCCGCTCCTGCAAGCAACAACCCTGCTATAGTTACTGCGGTGACGGGTTCTCTGACCTGTCTGGAAAATTCTCCTTCAAAATGTCGAAATACTTCTTCTGAGGTGTGATACATGAGCCTAGGTATGATAATTACTTGGATACAAAATACACTTTCATTAAAGACATTAAGAGATAAGCATGGAGTTACTCCTATGTCTGAGCATACCCATTTTGCTCCTCCTGATGGTATTACCCATTTATCACTTTTATTTCTATGTTGTCCTATGACCCATTTAGAGATAGTTTCATTACATAGGGATTGGTACTCAATAGGGATAGTTCCGATACATCTGCCTTTACCTGTCACCATTTGTATTGTTATCCCCTGAGTATGATTTCTTTGCTCCTCCCATTTGCATTCTAGAGGATTTGATCCATTTGACCATCGGACTTTATTAGGTTTTCCTATTGCTTCAAAATAAGGCGGCCTGATGTTATAACATAGCCAGCAATCTAATGTAAGGTTTGGTTTACTCTTATTAAGAGCCTGGTACGAAGTTTGCATCAAATCCCATAAGGGGTCTTTAGGTTCTGACAGCTCAGATATAGAGGGTTCAGTAAAAGATTTCAAAGGGTTGTGTTTTTCGGGGGAAAGGGTTGGAATAACTTTTTGGGGTACCCGAGGATTTAAAATCGGATTCGGTCCTACTGGGAGAGGGTCGTAAGGGATTCTTTCTTTAATGATTTTAAAAAGGCTTCCCCTATCTGATCCGGGTTCCCAGAACCTAATTCCCCCTATCCTTCCCAGTAGCCATTCATCACTTTCTGGTTGTTTGACTTTTATCTCGATTCTCCAACAAATCGGACTGTTACAAGACCCTTGTACTACCCCATCATAACCATGT